GCGGCGTGCTAGGTAGCCCGGGTCGGTCCTAAAAGGCGGCGAGCCCCTATTTACCGAGCCGGCACATAGCCCGGTATATACTCGACGGTGAGCTGAACGCAGAGACGCGGCGTAGTGAGGCGAAGCCGGCTGCTGTTGGCGAAGTATCGACATCGATTACGTAACGCTGCGGTAGTTTATACGGTGGTAGAGCCACTCTCAACAGTACCTAAGTACCACGACCGGCGTGAAGTGGACGCAACACATTTGCAAACCTACGGGTGTTTTAATGTCCATGGCCGGTTATCACTTTACATTATATGAACCGCCAGCTCGCTTGCAATCTTTTCACATAAAAAAAAGTTTAGGCGATTGTGTCTTTAGACCAACCTAAATTTGAGATGATTTTACTTTTGCTTCTCTTAGTTAGTCGGTGCCCACTCTTTTAAATGTTACAAGACTACACTTAAACATCAGATTCCCCGTTTGCTTGTTTTCCATCTTCTTTCATAAAAGAACTGATTTCCTAACGTATATACGAATGTTTATTAAAAACGTTTTGTATTCACGCTAAATAATCTCGATTCCCGCTATGCATGCCGCCTTGTTACATTTAAAATCATAACTGCATTTTAACCGTTTCCTTTATCCAAATCGGCTACTTTTTATTACTTTTGGCATTAAGGAAATAAGTACTGGGGCCTGGTACATTTTTGTAGTACATTATTGTACGCACAGTGTACTCCTATGTGGTTTTCATTTTAAACAAATAGTGGTTAAATAATTTTACCAATCATTTGTAAATATGACATATGCCTTTCGCGGCAAAGCTTTGATTACTCCTCTCCTGTTATGAGTCTCCATATGCAGCGACTATCGCTTGTCACTAAGTAAACCGTTACTCGTTTATGTCCTTCAGTTTAAAATAAGACTAGAAACTTATAACGTCGTAGTACGGGTACTATGTTATCGATGAATCGCGAACAACACTAGTCAACGGAAGCGGCGAGTGTGCGCGTCGATAAATTCCGACCGCGTTGTCAATCGCTCGCGAGGAGCGCTCAGGAATTAACGGCGCTGCGCTGTCAAGGCGCCCCCCTGCCCCTGCCCCTCAACGCCCGCGGCAGGGCTGAGCACCGAGCAGGGGAAAATATAAGTTATTCCCCGCGATAAGTCAACGTTGGATCGTGACTTTTCATTTGGGGATACCCGTTGCTTTTGTCTCGCTGTGTTTTTTTCAAACGATGTTGTGGTTCCATTGCAAACGCAGTGTTGTTACCATTCTTTCTTAAAAAAAAACCTTTAAAGTAATTTGATTAATTAACTTATATGTAAACACCTGATAAGTATTTGAGAAAAAGTATAATGTGTATAAGTTTCTCCTCAAAAATTAGTTAAATTCGTATTAATTACATGAATAACTTCATAAAATTTTAATTCCCTTATGCATATGATTATGAATGATTAAATTTTAATTACTTGTAAATAGGATTACTATTTCCTTAATCTTATTCATAAATATTTACTTAATGCGTTAATAGAAACCACAAGCCAATAGCGACCAACATCTTTAACATTATCCTTTACACCGTCTTATTTATTCATCTTATATTCTTTTAGAATTCTTTTAGGACCATTCTTTTAGAAGTTTTAAGATAATTACTAACTACGTATAAATTGTGTCATGGGCAACCCTGCGTAAGTCGCGCGTGTACGCTGGCCCCGTGAATTATACGGATTATGCGGCGGGCACACGCGAGCTATGTGGGCGAGTGGCCGCGGAGCCGGTAGGGCTTTGTCGATATTAACGTCACACGACAAGGTTGCGCGTCACTATTCTGACAAGCGCGTGAATACGCTGCCAAAAAATTATTCCCCGCGATTACTGCGTTAGTCACGATGCCGCATAGTGGATATTAACGGCAACTTCGTCGCACCATACTATGTTTGAAAGGATGCCAACACGCTGCCTAAAACCTGCTCTCTACCCTTGATTGTGGCGACGGTCGCTAAACCGGGTCGGTTTATCGATATTTACTTTGTTTGACGACGGAGCGCGTCACTATTGTCGAAAGCGCGAACGCGCTGCCAAAAAAGTTATGGCGCTTTCCCCGCGATTATTGCAGCCGGTGCGCCGCGGCCGTAATTGAATATTTCGAGCATCTGTGGCGATTTTTTTCTTTTGCTTTCGTCTTCTTCATTGTCGCCAGCGTGTATTTTTTACACGGGTAGTTTTCTGATGATATGGTGAAGAAGAAATAAAAAGAAATCGATCGGAAATGTCAATTCAAGTGTATACCACAATTTTAAGTGTCTTCAAAGCCTGCTATGGATAAATCTTGATCAACAGATTAATAAAATATTTCAAATTAAAATAGGATTGTAAAATTATTCATCCTTTTATGATATAGGAAGCTTAACCAAATCGTGGCATCTTTTGTGCCACGTGCACGCTTTTGTTTCGTTATACTTTAACGACCCGAGTTCAAATTCAGGCTCTGGGACAAAAAAAAGTATTAATTTCGAATTTAGTGCTGAAGCCCACGTAGTTGGCGGTCATGGAAAACATCGTAAGGAAACATGTATAAGTACATAAAATATATAGAAGGTATGTCTCTCTATACACATCGCGTGTCTCAAAGCGAAACTAAGATACTAAGATCTACTGTACAGAGCAGACCTTTGTCGAGCAGTAGGGCATGAACACGATGTGACTTACGAAGCCATCCGAACTAAGTACGAAATGTTTATGACAATTTGTAGCATGATAGCTCTGTTGGCGTTTGCAAAACCATGCAAATCATGCTTGCCTGGTATAAGCGAAGATGACTAACTGAAAGAAGATTCGTTATGTTTCAATGATATGTCTTAAACTTGATATCCCAAAGATTAGCGGTGAATAGATATGGGCTAGTGGGGATGGTAGTAACGATTGTAAATAGTATTCAGCAATAAGGTGGTGTAGCCTACTCGGAGACTCCAATTACAATAAGCTTACATTAAGTTCATTCAGTAATCATTGAAAGCAAAAACTTATATAAGCGCACCACGATTCAATTCATCCTGGTTCAATTCTTATAGTCGTCTCCTGATGCCTCCTGTTACACACTCATATTAAAATACAGCAAATATATCGAAAAACTTACAAAATGTTAATGTCAATGCCATATAAAACCGTTTAAAAACTTTTAAGTTAAACGGTTTTATTTTCTGTTTTTTTTTTGTGCACTGAAAACTACAATATTGTATTGTCATCTAAATTAAATGTGTGTACCAAATTTCAAATCAATCTGACAACGGGAAGGTGCTTAAATTTCAATTTCTAATTTTGACCCAAATAAACAAATAAATTCCGTACGTGTCGAGCTAAATAAAACCGTTTAAAAATATGAAAAAAGAGACGTGCGCAAATATTCACAACTGCAATCATAACAAACCCTTCGGTTTGGTATAAAGTAGATCTTTTTGGTATAAAATTGTATCCTTAAAAAACCTGGCTTCTGTGGGATAAGATAATCTTGTATCGTGACGTTTTGAGAACTCGAAATAAACAAGTACAATAATCCATAATAATTATCTCTGGCTTATTCAAATACACACGCTTCGCTTCAGCTCTTCGCTGATCATCTGCACCTACTAAGACTCATCTTGAATGTCCAAAGCCCGGTTCCTATATTCAACGAACGGCTGTTAGTTAAATTGTCATTATGAAGTCGTTATAAAACTTATGAAGTTTTGTAACTAACGGCCGTTCGTTGAATATAGGAACCGGGCATATGCAAAGAAGCAATCCCACATTAAAATGTAAATATGTAACTTCCTTTTGGAGAAACCAATCAGTTCTCTATATCATTATCAATTGGCGTCATGGACAGTAGACCTGTCTCTTGCACCAGAGGTTGTGGGTTCGATCCCCGCTAATGATAAAATATTGCGTTTTTCGTGTATTAATTTAAAAATGTAAAGTATGTCAAGTGTATTTTTGAACTATCTGGACACATAGTACAAGCGTTGCTTATTTAGTCCTAGAGATCGTTGTGAGAAGATGTGTTATTAAAATATTTATGTGAACTGTTCCAAAACTCGTCCACACTCTAAGTACACGCTATAAGGCGGTCTGGCAATACTTGCGCGTTATTTTGGAATTTTCAGAGAGCCTATAGCCCCCGAACGGATTTAAGAGAAAACTCCACCCGCGTATATACGCGGCACATATTTCTGGTCGGCTGTATGTGCGGGCACCGGCTTTGCGAGCTCCGCTCTGAGCACAAATGGCAGTGTATTTCTCCGTAGCCGCAGGCCCTCGCTGCCGCTAGGGCTGTCGCTAAAGCCATTTTTATATCAACAATTTTGATGAAACTTTTTTGAGGTTGTACTGTTGGATTGTGTCGCCGTATGAGTTTATCGTAAGAGCATATTATGTAAATATCGCAATAGTTGTGGAGGTAATCGAATGTAATAAAATGATGATGTAGATTACAGCTTTTTTATTGAATTTGTTACTTGTATTCACTCACGCAGCCCTAAAAGATATTCTTGGAAAGATATTTTATAGTGCAATAGTTAATTTTATTCATACACTACAAACTTATCACAAAACTTAATACAAACTTTTACTAAAGTGTTGATTCTCATTATTTTAATATGGTAATCTATAATGTTTATTATTATTGAATAAATTCCTTTACATTTTCGTTTAATTTATGATGTGACTTCTATTGAAACACATAAATGTAGTAAAAAATTTTGTTTTCTTCTGGTATTGATATTGATATAAAAATACATGCAAACAGATGAAGGTGTGTCCAAATCTGAAGACTTTAAGTGACAATTTTGCCGAAGCTGTAAATGCGGCAACGAGATAATTTTTGTATTTTGATTACATCGAAAAACCAACCACAACCTCTATAACATAGAGCTTAGGAGATGCGGTAAGTTTATATATAAAAAAACTGCTTTATTAGACTAATCCTGTCACGAATTACAAAGCAGTGACGCTTTTCGCGAACGACACCCGTTTAATTAATAATCCGCCGGGATTCGGTGCGACAGCCCTGCGGCGCGGCGGGAATTAGAGCGCCGAGCGGCGGCAACCCTCGCCGCTCTTTGTGAGCGCGGCCCTCGCGCGGGGAGCGACATCGCCGCCTCGCCTCGGCTTGGATCATTTCAGCGGGCTTTTGCCCAACGAGCAGCTATTCGCGGATGGAGCGTCGGGCTGGCTGCTTTTTTTTTTCTATTTCTCCGCTTCGAAATTCGAATCGTCAGCGGATCGACGCGGCCGCTCGGCTTAATTAACGGACCGCGCTCGCGTAGTGACGCGCCGTGTGATTACGGCTCTTGATGTTTCCGAACGGAATAATGTTTTTTTTTTAATCCAGCACTTTAAGATACGTGGCGGGGATTTCCCGAATATGAAATCATAGCCGTAGATTTGAATCAATGTAAGACGCAGGAAGGGTTACTTTTCGGTTTCATTTGATAAATCGGTACGACACTGTTTCCCAAACTGCTACGCTACTATGTGTTTTTGTAAAACAAAAATTTTTATGCTGAAATATCAGAAACATCTTCTATTTTGTCTCAATCTTCTCGTCGACGTTAAAATAACTAATTTTTTTAGCAGTGCAATTGCCACACGTAAAAAAATGCTCAGTTCTGTTTATTTCTGTGAACGCTGCAATAAGCGGATGGTATACAATCAGCAATTTCCAAATTGGCTTTGTTTGTTTTCGAGTTGTTTGTGAGAGAGAGTTTCGGTACGTCGAAAACGTAGCTATAATTGTTTCGTGACGTTGAACGTTTTTAGCGATTGGATACTATTCTGAGAGACAACAGTAAGGTTTCTTTCGCTTTTCCAAATAGTTGTCAGGAGTAATAAGTTTCCATCTTTTCGATACATTCCATCATTCTCTTACATTTGTAACTCGTCCGGTGAGTGAGGTAACTGGGGCCCACTCTTTAATAGGATGACAATACCCGAGGGTTTGTAGATAACAAACCCTCGGGTGTTGCAGATATTCACGGGCGGAGGTATTCACTTAACGTCAGGTGAACCGCCTGCTCGTTTGACAACTTTCACATAAAACAACGTAGAACGTAATAGTTTCTCTTATTCACGTCAATAGAACAAACGGTAATAAAAATTATTTACGGGATTTTGTTATGGTTTGGAGTTTGGATGGTAACGCGGCGAACTGATATGCTTGACGTTTTGTCCCTTTTGACCCGAGCCACCGTCAGCTGCTCAAGCTATCGATCCGTAAATTATTTCTATCGAAATGACCTGTAATTTTTGCTCTTCATTCAACTTAACCTTACCTATTCAAGGAACCAAAATTGACGCTACGTCGCGATGAACTAATAACGTAGACATACTGAGCGGCGTTCCTTCTTCGCGGAATGCCGGCGATCGAGGATGGGACGTCGTTGGGCATCATCTGGCCGCGACGCCGGATCCAATATCCCGACGGGTAATAACAATCGCGATCTATCGGACGCGAGTAAATTATGCACGGCGTCCGCGTTGTCGCCTTTGGCGTGCGGCCGCGCGAAAACGAGCCCTAGGACAAAGGAATACGCGTCGCGGAGACCGCACTAGTTAAAGCTGTCGCGGACGTTCGCCGAGGACACCGCCGTGCTAATGGCTTAGAGCCCCCCCCCCCCCCCCCCCCCTGTCCCCCTTCGGCCCCCCTTCTAGCACACTTTCCAAAATAAAGGAGGAGCTCTTAATTGTGCATCGAATCGGTTCGCCCGTGTCCGGTGCCCATTCGCGTCGAGTGCACGCCACTGTGCGCCGTAACACAACGGCATTCGGATCACATCCGTCCGCAGGCGTTACGTCCGAAAGCGGCTCGCACTCCGGGCACTGATATTGAATAATAAACGATCTCGGTTTGCAGCGTTTATTTTAGGTCGAGTGTACCTTCGACTAAGGCAAATACCCCGGTACAGTGAGCGCCGAGTCCGGAGGTAAATCGACCGTGGCGAGTTCTTCTGTTTCTTTCTCGTGGTCCGTCGACCAACGCTTCTTTCATTAGCCTAAATCTCTGATTCCGCAAACATCAGGTCACATATTTTTATGGAGAAAAGTGGCAAACGAGCAGGAGGTTTACCTGATGGTAAGTGATTACCGCCGCCCATGAACACCTGCAACACCCGAGTGCTTACAATTGCATTGCCGGCCTTTAATTAATAATTTAGCATAACTATATTCATCATAACGCCGTGAACTCGGCGATCTCAATTATTCTTGTAACTTAATGTTTTTATTCTTCATTTTCATTCGCTTAATACAAGAAGGTGGCAAACGAGCTGGCGGTTCAACCGATATTGAGTGATAACCACCGCCCGATGACATTTGCAACACACACACACCCATAGGGTTGCAGATACGTGGTCACCCTATTATATAGTGGGCCTTGGCTACCTCACTCACCAGACGAAACGGTGAAGTAAAACACTTCATGCAGGTATTCTGTAAGTACGTGATACCCGGACGGACCTGCCCATTCGTTTACAGCGAAAACTGTTTAGTGGCCCTGCCATAGTTGGAATAAACTTTTCAATTAGACTCCATTTAAAAGATAAATTGTGTCGCTGACATCAAAAATCTAGTCAACTATTCTGAATCGAATTTGATGATGAGGCTGACGGTTATACCGACAATCTTGGAGCTACAAGAGTGCTGCGATAGTATGCTAATTTTCTGAGTACGAAAACGCATCTTCTGTGCTAATGCGACAATTCTAATTCCAGATGCCTGTATGGTACATGGCTGTGGCAGACAAGTTTCTTGTGTTATTCGCGTTTTTGTGCGGTCTCAAGCAAAAACAGTCGCGTCATTGACTAGTAAAGAACTTGTGAAACTTGAACAAAGACTGCACCGAAAAAACAACTGTATCATATCAGTAACGTATGGCATGTTATAAAAAAAAATAGCTAATTAAATTGTGCACGTTTAGTAATTGTTATACAATGTGCGGGAAGTTGATGGATAAAGGTGGATTATGACCCTATTTCATGGCTGTCTGTGGTCCATGTATAGTAAATAAACGAACAGGCAGAAATGATGATGATATAACGAAAGGAAACATGATGAGAATTGATCAACACATTTTTTAATTGGCTGATTGAGTTTCATGACAAAACAATAAAGTGTTACAGTTGAATTTTGAGCTTCCGGCTACCAATAGTGTGTAGTGTGCTTAGTTTTCATTTAGTACATTATATAAGTAAACATACATTGTATAGACATCGTGGAATCAATTTGTCTGTAGACATCACACGCCATCCTTGGGGTCAGGGCAGAAGGCGGCGACGGCATTATGTTTGCTCGGCGCGGCCGTTGTGCTAAGCGGGCATTTGTGGAGGACGCTAGCGGCCAGTTTTCCGGAGCCCCGGCCCTCCCACAGCGCGGGTTGAAACTCACGTCGCCGGTGGGGCGTCGCGGCGCAAGTGCCGCTGGTCGCCTCCGATAATTTACGCGTGAGCGGTCACCGTCAGTGATTAGGCCTGATAACGCGGATCGTAAGCGCGCCTGCTCCCCGAGATAAAGCCGCCTGCACACGCTCCCCGAATATTTAGCTCTACTCCTCGCTACGAGATATCGCTGCTACGGATTTGCGCTCGTAATCTGTTCTCTGTGGACAAATATCATCTGTTATTGGAATTATGAAACTCGTGTATTCGCACATTGGTCGAAATTAGCATCAATTCAAAAAGTTTTTTATTTTTCTAAAACTAATCCTGTCAATCTGACATAAACATTCTCATGTGGCAATTTAATTTGTGCAACTGTCTGACAACAGATTGATAAGTGTTTGATATCGACTATAGCAATTAAAGTTTAATTTAATTTTTTTAGTCAAATGTAAAGTAAACATAAGTCAAATATAAGTTTTAGCTTTCTGCACTTTCTTGCCATGGCAAATCTCACACTTTTTCGTTACTTGCCTTATTTTTTTTAAGAGATTTGAATTTAACGTATTATCATATTTAAGAAGATGGTTGTGAAATGAATAAAAAAATTGTGTACCATCTTATCAAATAGTTGTTACACCTAATAGGAATCTTTATAAGCATTAAAATGATATTTGTGCATTGAGCAATTGCTTAATTCTTTAAAGCCTTGGAACGTAGGTGGCCTCCTTACACCGAGACAATGTTGTGAAACCAGTCGTTTCGTTCACAAGAGATCCGAAACTCTGTCGGAACTGAACCTGAAACAGCCGCGACACGTCACGCGCTACCATTCGTACTGGCCACCGTTCGCACGATAGGGCAGAATTCACCATTTGTACTAGGGCCGCATGACCCCAGCAGGGTTTCGAATCGGTACATCCGTCGGATATCGGCTGCGGCTTAGCGACGCGGGTCATTAAGATGGCGCGTGTGCGTCCGCGGTGGGGGTCGCTGTGTGGGGGCGAGAGAGGGGTTGGAGGGGGGGTGGCAAGGGAGGCAGGGGGCGGAGGGTGTGCCGCTGTTTGCGCTGAACGAGCTCTCAGGTGCGACGTGAGGACGGCGGTGACAGCGCGCCCGTGTCAGCTATTCTAATAGCGGTCTTCGATCGCTCACCGTCCCCTGCTACGTAGAATACAGCTAGTGTGGAACACTAGTATCCGCCCGCGGAATCGCCCGCGTTACTTTTGAGGCGTGAAACAACGAATCAATTCAAACACTTTCAGCGAACGGTGCGTCAAGACATGAGCGGACATGCACACAAACATTTGTACGTATCGACATATGTATGTTTAGTTAACATTTTACTTTTCTTTTGTAAATAAATACATATTATAAAAATAAAAACAGCCAAACACAGGAAAAACACCATGCTCATCGCACAACTTTAATTTTTTAGTAGTGGGAATCGAATCCACAAAACAAAACTAAGAGAGTGATTTAAAACGAATTCGAACGATAAGGGTTGGACGGAAAAATTAACGACATCGTATTTTTTACCTTAAAACATGTAGAAAAAGTACGACAAATTGACATCGTATTTTGTTTTCTATACACTAAGCCAGGTTTAATAGGCGACCCACATCCAGATTAGGACTGGGGTGATCTCTTTAGCGGTGCAGCAATGCTGATAGCGGATGCAGAGGAAAGTTCCGGGTAGCCGCCGGCAAGCGAATTTTGCCGCGGCCTGCGCCCGACCCCCACAACCACCCTCTTCCGTAACGTACGCAAGTTGTGGGGGCTGGCAAAGGATTCAGGTGGCGAAGGATCGTGCCCGAAGGCGATATGGAGTAGCCGTTTCCAAGTATTGTGGGGGCGGGCTCCCGTGGCTGTAGGTGTCGCTTACTTACTATTCGCTCATTTCTTACCATTACGTTGTTGCTGAAAAAATGTTTGCCTCATTTCTCGTCATGGCTTCGAAGTTGATAAATCAGCAATTCTCTGACATTAACGATGTGATAAATATTACAAAGCAATATTACAAAGCAACCGATCGCTTTGTAATATTTATCATTGAAAGTGTTAAATACTTATGATACGCGTAAAGAAAATGTGAACGTGAACATATCCTATGGAGGTATCTCGAGGAGGCTCTAAAGACATTTATTTTATACGATAAAGGGTGTTATAGCCTAGTATTGTTGCAATCTTCATTATTACTGAAGAGCGCAAATATAAAGAAAAAAAACTTGTTGTCAATTTATACCTTTTTTATGAAAGATGGACTACTAAAAAACCACCATAATGTTTAAGACCACTTACGGTAAATGTAGTACAGTGTATTCACTCTCCGCGAATTTCTATCTGACCGATTCCCGCATTGAATGATAGTAATAAATTATAATTGTTCAAATTAAATAAAAAAAATATGTTTAGGTGCTTTAGATTTCACTGCACTCTTAAATATAGCGTCTATAGTATTCTGCTGAATTTCTTGAACTTGTTTGATTCCGCTCCGCCAAATGCTCGCTCTTGCACTACGCACGCCGCCTTAAGCTCGACCATTGGCCTAATTACGTATGCCGTTCGAAGTCACCGCTCGACCTGTCACTCCGGCCGTACATCAGAGTAATGTATTTAGCGCCGCGCGTCTCAGCCCACAATTTACAAACAGCCGTTTCACGCTAATCCCGAAGGATAGCGATCCCGAGATGTTTCCAGAAAGGTACGATTAGCGTTTGTTTACCGTCGACAGGGCAATTTATTATTTAATAGTGTTTCGCTTTCTGCCCTGCTACGCTTCTGGTTTCTTCATAAGAAAACTTCTCGAAACTTGAGACGGAGAAGAGTATCGTGAGTAAGTTCTTTTTTGCTCAGAAACAATAATGGCGAAGACTAAAAATGAAGATAAAGAAAATGTTACTGAGAAACCGGAAATTATCTGACTCTTTGGTACTAAATACATTACAAAGCCCAACTGTCCTTAAGTTAGTTACACATAGTCTTTTGATATTTTTAATGGGTAGTGTACTTAAATATACATATCATGGTGATTATGAATTAGTCGTGTTTCACACAAAGCTAATTGATTATTATCGAGATTAGCGATTTCATAGCGGCTAAATACACCTTTCGAGGATGTTTGCTTAGATATATCGATACGAGTGTGGCAAATTGAAAAATAGACCGTGATATTAATTTTTATTTATTTATTTCTGCTTTATTGCCAACCTTAAATAAAAAAGGTAACAAAAGGCGGATTCGAAGCCTTAAGATATCTTGGGTTGACTGGTAGAAAATACCTTTTTTCTCCCAGTCAACCCGTATGGGAGACAGGTGATTTTATAGTTTTGTATAAATCTGGAGCTGCCTTCTTCTCCGCATTAAAAGTATCAAAATACTACTACTAATGAAATTAACAATAATTACATTTTTAACAAAACCTACTTAATCTATCTGATTTGGAGGAGTTCCCTGTAACAACCGAAGTCAAAGGTCAAATACAAATACAATTAATATGGGACCACATGGGAACAAAACCAAACCAAAAGCAATTGTTGAAACTGTTTAATTTGAAACAGAGTTGTGAGGTAACAAACATAAAAAAACAACCGAATTCACTGTCTCCTCCACTTTTTTTTGAAGTCGATTAAAAACACTCAATTAACACCAGTTTATATTATTATCATTAGAATGGCTATTGCAGAGACAAGTTGTAACTTTGGCCGGATTTACAAATGTGAAAATTTATTATACTAAGACTATTTTTATACAACGATATTTTTAGACAAAACCTAACTAATGTTTATTGTCGCAGATTATATATCCATACAAGTGGACCCGACGGACATTGTCCTGAACGCGTTTAAAATCTGACAGCAATTTATAAATAAAAAATTAATTAAAAAGACATTATATATAGTGGACCGAATTGTGAATCTCGAACGTACTCGAATTTATAATATATAATTTATAGTATAATACCCACTTGAACACACAAAAAATTTCATCGAAATCGGACCATCCGCTTAGGAGGAGTTCAGTCACATACACAAGCGCAGAAAAACTATATGTAATTATATAAAGATATAGCGACATCTCTCCGATCGTTAGCCTCACAAAGGGAATGTACTAGGCGTGCAGAAACTACGGGAGAGTAAGAAAACGGACGGCCGAAGTCAGTTTGCGCGTCGCGTGCCGCGACAAGGGACTCGCTGCCCGAACATCTACCCTCGTTACGTTTTGAATGCCCTAAGGGCGCGTCCACAGCGATCCCTTTGTTCGCGACCGGGCGAATGTTAAATTATATCGTTGCTATTTATTTAATTAAATATACGCTAAGGGCAGTATAAAATAATGCAGATTCTGAGAATCTCTGAAGCATCAAATGACTGAACAGAGAGAGAACATCAATTTATTTTTATTGTTATATGAAGGTTGGCGAGGTAGTTGTTCTTTTTAGTTTATATCATTGAAAATACATAAATGCGGAAAGTAATCCTGCATGTAATCATTAATCCTATTTTAGATAAGAAAAGTATTTCCTTCATGTTGTTCAAATAAAGTTATTACAATTTGTACAAAATACTTATCATCGTAAGAAAAAAACATTTTTAACCGCACTAGAAAATAAATCGTATGTAATAAAAACATAGCATCCAGGCTCGGAATATCTATCTAGTTTAATATTGAATTGTAATAAATGAAATGAATGAATAATGTTAAAATAACAAAATTTTCCCAGTTTTTTTTTATTCTGCATCAGAAACGAATGATCAGCACGGCTCGGAATAAGAGTTAGCTAATGTAAATCACAGCGAATTCCGTGTTGCAAATCATACACTCGAAATACATAGTAAAAATATGTAGAAAAGTGTTTCTAAATAAATTTTTTTACACAGAAATGGTGTTTGATTACAGGGAGTGGCAACATAGAACGCATAAAAAAAATCACTTCAGAGTCATAAGAGAAAATACCTCATGAAAAGACTCGTAAAGTACTCGGACTCGTAAACATACTCGGATAAAACCTGCAGCGGGCGTGAACCTCTTCCGAATCGATCTCCATGTGTAGTCACCCTAACGCGAGCGTGCGGGGACCGGTGGACGCGTGGCTCGCGGAATTCCATTTAAAGACGTCGGGACAGTTTAGCGCTGACGGCGCGCGGGCCAAATTGACGCGCCCCAGGGGCCGGACCTGGATCGATCGCGAAATCGCGGCGCTGCTGAGGGCTTAGCTCCACGGAGGGGCAGCCGAGCGCCCCGAGGGTGGCACTGGCTTTCGTGAACAGCCCCCGTTCGTCCCATGGGTATGGCGATGCAAAAAAGTGTCAAAACGACACGAGCCTTACGCTCGCTAGACGCGATATCAGCGATCCCACAATATGCTCTACGCGGGTCAACGAAAAGTTTTGTATACTTAGACTTCTAATATCTATGGCCTATGGAAGTAGTCAAAACGGGGAAACTAATTGTTTAAGGGATATCAATTTTTATAGTACTATTTTATGGACGAATAATTTTAGTCACAGTTAGGATTCGAGTCCGCGTCTTCCGGGATATGCGGTTGATTCTCTTGCCACTGAGGGGGACACTAACTATTCAGTAATATCTACTAAGCTCCATCTCAGCCTAATTCTTATTAAACCGGCAAACTTATAAACGAGACTAGAGACCGAAAAATGAAACCGACGATAGCTTTGTCTGTAATAAGCATTCTAAGTTGTACCGCATGTGAGTTTCGATCGTAAATCATTCTCTTTAAGTCACGCTCTATAAGTGATCACTATAACCTTGAATTTATATAGTAATGAACCAATTTATTTCTTGAAACATTAAACTACTGAACTCATTTTTTTGCTCTGTATAAATTGACTAGTATCCATATTAAATATAACCAAACCCCCAATGTATGTTGTTAATATAATGGCTATCGATGAAAAACCCCACCAATTCGGTTGGATTCCGAATACCGACATAAAACGTAAATAAATACATATGTATCTGTTTTTTGAAATTAAACGCCTCCAAACAAAAGAATGTAAATATCAGGGTACATGCACTACAAGTGCTATATGTGTGGAACAATAATTAATATAAATAATTTTATTTACTTAGTATATTTGGCTTAACGGCAGTGAAAGAATACTTTTTGTTAAACTAATCGAAAAGGAAGTGTGCTAACGACACGAAGGGAACATGCTAGTATGCTATACACGTTCTATATTGATGTAGAACGTAGTATGCTTACACGTTCTATACAGCGTGTCGTTACCATCGCGACAATAAATGAACACACGTATAACGATTCTTGCCAATAATCATAAAAAAATATTAACGTTAAACAAAATCCCTAATTAAAAAAAAATATTTTTCAAACAAACTAATTAAGTAAAAAAGAAACAAAATTTGTATCATCCTTTACAACTCGCGCCCCAGCGTCGCATTACAAGCTTCTCCTTCTAAGAGTATGTTTTGTCTCTTTTAAATTCATTCAACCCATTCATATGCTTTGTGTCCTTTACAAATGAACTTTACGTTACAGTTTTATACGTAAGGGTGTTCTAAAATTGTTTGTTTTGGAAAATTAAATAACTGGGTTAAAATTGATGTTTAAAGAATGTAAATGTTTGATACAATTTTAAAAAGTTATCCTCTATATGTGTGTTCATTTATTGTCGCGGTGGTAACGACACGCTGTATATGTGTAGATCGTATTAGGGTGTAGAGGGCGCGACCGTTCGCGCGGAGTGCCGCGGGCCTCATCAGCGGGATTCGACGAGCGACCCTTGTCTACTACTCGACCTCACGGCTCCTCTGCTACCTAAGTATAGATGCGCGCATCTCCATAGGGTTCGGGTATTTTCCACTCCGCTACACTCACGAAACCCGCTGGTCTCATTGGCGGCGGTTCTCCGTTCAAAGAACTCAAATCTTTTTGGAAAATGTAACTTTGGTTGTAACGTTGTTGTTTAGTTGTGTGTAATGGTTATGGAACCGAAAATGGTGTTTATGTTTTCTACACGATTGTTAAGAAAAGGTTTTGAACATACAATGGAAAAGGTTCGTGAAAAAATTAAATATTATTTTACTTGAATTACTGTAACAACGATTAGATTATATTACAGATAAGAATATAATATATAGGTATAAATATTTATTTTTTATTCATATTTTTTTAGCAAACCATGCCAAAATCTTTGTCCATAGATATTGATAGTTCATGCAAAATGAAGATTTGCACAGTTCAATAAAAGATTGTTTACTCTTTTGTTGACGGATACTATACTATACTTTATTATCTTCGTTTGTCATAGTTGCAACTAGACGCGATAAGGTTGACGAAGTTTTGAAAATGTTAACTTGTGTCCTATGTAATTACTTTCAAGTAAGGCCTTCCCAGTGATCATAATAGCACACTTTTAAGGCAATGCTTAAATGTAAGACACAAGTAAAACATTGCTTTGATGTCATTCATGCTCGCCACAAATTCGAACCAACACCACAAAGACCCTAAGTGAAACGCGCGCACAAACCCGCCGTAGACCGCGACCCGTAGAGCCACTACGTCGTAGCGGGCTTTGATTATGCACGGTAATTTCCGTCGAGTCAGGTCGCACCGCCCCCGCCCTTATCTGTACACGATGGCACTTGGCACCCGCGCGCGTAACTGCTGCCATCTACGCCTGAAATGTATGTTGCTACGTCGGCTAACCGGCTGGATGTGCCGCTTATATGCTACGTACTATATTGCTCGTAGCTTCCTCGCAGTCGCTACGTTCCGTATGCTTCGGTGCAGTTCCGTTTTATGACTGTTTAAGGCACTGTAACGGCTCTCCAGTCGGACGGTTTATAGCGGTATTTGAGATCAGAACTCACAGTAATAGTAACGCTTTACTGAGTTTTGTATGTGCTATAGGCAATATGTCTGATTATATGTTACCTACACGTACACAGAAACGCTCGAAGCGTCGTCACGGTATAAACACTAGTCATTGATAAGTTGGGACCAATTCGGTCCGCCTCGTGAGCCATTCTAAGCAGGTTCCCTCGATTAAATGCGGTGCTACTGGCCAGAAGTGGCGCAGAACGTGCACATATTAAGCTTAAGTTACTAAGCGACGTCTCAAAATTTGTAGTATGTTTATATATGTACGCATTTCAGCATGTAATTGTATATATCTGTGATCATTATTGAGAAGCTGATATAAACATATTGATATTATTTTCCTGTTATTAAGATTTTTTTTTCTCCTCTTATACATTCATTCATTGTACCTATATCTGAGTGCATACATTTTCAAATCCACATGTCTGTAAAATTTGAGTTACAGAAAAAATATATTGATGACCTAAGCCTATCAACGTCTGCAAAAATTGAGTTCGGTTGTCAACCGAATTCCTTTCTTTAAAAGTTTTAATTTTACATACAGCGGAGAAGAGCCTATTTTCACAATTTTTTAACTGTTATGACTTTACACATTTACGTATATACAGGTTGGCTTTTTTAAAGTTGTCCAAATTCACACAGGAAGTTCATACTCGTAGTGTAATCGTTTATTGAAATAAAAACAAACGTTTTTTTCAAAAAAAAAGTTGTCATTCTATTCCCTAAAAACAGAACTTGTTGTGGAATTTATTCATAAATGCGTCGCGCGTAAAATAAATGAGTTGCCCATAAATCACGCACTTTTGAGATAAATTCAAATAAATGTAATTAATTAATTAATTAATTACCAGTGATTTTAAATATTTATCATTTTGATATAACATTATTTATGTCAAGAATTTAATAAAAAAATTAATCTACAAAAGTTCGTGATTTATATGCAAATTATTTATTTTACGCGCGATCATTCATAAACAACACGCACACAAGTTCGTTTGTGTGCGTGAACGGTAAAATTTAGGTATTTATGAATGACTACCGCATTGTCAACAAGCTCTGTTTTTTAGGGAATAGAACGGTGTTACAATAAACGATTATACTACCGAGTCTGAACCTCCTGTGCAAATTTGGGCACCTTTAAAAAAGCCTCCCTGTATAATAGGTATTATGACAGTACCTATTATATCCCTGTATAATACCTAGTACCCGGAGGACCGAGCTTTGCTCGGTTTGTTTTTTTTTTTCGTAAATCGTGTATTTTGGAAATTACATTTAGATACAAATTACTGAGTAATGAAATATGCATAATATTTTTCGATCTTACCGACGTAATAATAAGAAAATATGAACTGATGTTTTTCACAAAAGAAAGAACTTTAAAAAAAAAGAGAAAAAAATAACAGAATAACAAATCGACAAAAAATTAAAAATAAAGAAAGCAATGATCTGGAATCGAAAAAAAAGTAAAAAAATAAATGTGTAAATGATCGTGACGCGAAACCACGGCCGTCTGATTTGGGGCCGCCCGATTACCGACCGAGCTATTATGACATTTTCTCATGCGGCGAAATTTACCGTCATATTCGAATTATATTTTTCATTCCCTGAAAACAGGGATAAAAGGACATTTTCTAAAAATGAAACCTAGCTAGATCGATTTTTCGCCCCCGAATCTACGCACATACGAAATTACATGAAAATCGCTGGAGCCGTTTCCGAGATTCCGATTATATATATATATATATATACAAGCATTGCTCGTTTAAAGGATAAGAATAAGATTATACAGGGATATAATAGGTATTATTTTTCATCAATTATGATGGGATAGGAATTTGCCGAATTTTATTTTTAAAATAAGTAATGAGACATAACTAAATTATTTTCATGATATCAATTCCTAGAAAAAAATATGTTATCGTTTTAAGTAATCCATGTAACCGTAAGCATTATTTCAAATGGAACATATGAAATAGTCACTAATAAGTATTCAAACAAATTGAAAGTATTGATCGCAAAATGAAATTCAAATAAAACTCGCTTATTTATGGATTTGCTTTATTAAATACACATTGATTTACATTACGAAATTAAAGTATACATACATAAAAGTTATACATCAAGTAGTAGAAGTAATTTAATTCAAAGTCCGATTAAGGAAATTATTGAACCATTTGCTTTTTTTTTTTTTTTTAAAAGGAGTAGTTACAATCTTTATTGATCTAATATTTACAAGATTAAATCTATCTAAAATTACATATTATCTAATAAACCTAATCCACGCGGCATTTGCTTTTATTACTATTGCATTTATTATCTCCGGTGGTAGGGCCACGCAGCAGCCTCGGCTGTTGCACGAATGCGCAGGCCCGTCCGGGTAAGTACCACGACCTCACAGAAGACCGGCGTAAAGTGGAAGTATGACTAATACTTTCGCGTTTCGTCTGGTGAGTGAGGTGGCCGGAGCCCAAATTTCAAGAGGTTGTCAACGCATTTGCAACCATAGTGTGTAGTAGATGTCCATGGGTGGCGGTATTCACTTAACATCAGGTAAACCGTCTGCTCGCTTGACAACTTTTCACATAAAAAATGTTATAACTATATTTTAATTAACCATTATCATAGTAAAATTGGGCATCAAACTAGTATAGGTATATTATCGGTATTTTTACTGTTTAATTCATCATAAATAAAGTTCCCTTACTGAGATACTTCTTTTACCAGTTAAGACTACATCATTGCTTAACGCCAGTTGGGGTGACTTGGTGGTGCAGTTGCCAAGGTATTGCTTCAGTGCCGTGGGTCGTGCGTTCTATTCTTACACTATACAACTATTTGTGTGACCCACAGATAACTAAGTCGGATCTGGATGTTTGTCAACGTGAAATTTATGCATTTAAAACGTCGTTACAACACAGGATAAAGTTATCTTACAACTGTAAGGGGGCAATGTTTTCGAAGGGAAGAGTACAGTAAATCTTTCTGGGTCGCAGTGATCGTTGGGACTTATCACTCGAACCCTTTCGCACAAAGTACTAATCACCAAGGTGTGGTAGCACTAAAGCACCAGTCAGATCGTGATTACAATAAAAAATGTAAGTACTTACGTAGTAATTAATAAGAAATGCTCTGATTAGCGGAGCTCTAACGAATGTCCACAGAACACTCGGGTTACGCTCCTTAGGAATTACTCCTCAGATTGTTCACCATCTTCAAATTCTTAGACGTAGCACCAAAAGTTATAAAGGACGTACGTGGTCCCCTACGGTTAATTAAAATGGCGACCCGCGAGATAAGTGCGTGCAGGCGGCGCCCGGGTAGATACGCGAGGCTTTACGAGGCAATCTTACTAGCGGTGCGTGTCCTTTTTTTTCACATCGCCGCCGGTGGGGTGGCCACGTTTGACAGAGAGCACGCAGACGCGCGTCTCGGTTTAAATGGCATTCGCTTTCTGCCTACGCTTCGTCGTGTCAGCGCGGTGCTCTGTTTGATTGATTTTGGTACTGTGCTAGTAGTTACCTGGATTATTAGTTTAGTATTCTTCTATTATAAACAAAAGTTATTCAACATAGTAAAACACGAATAAAGGCTACTTTTATCAGTGGATTTGTTACGTGACTTTGGAATCTATACGAATACGTGTTTTATATAACATGGAAAGATTTAGCTACCTATCGGTACATCTATCCCATTTGTATTAAAGGTCGCATAGAAAGGTCAGCCATCTTTACCAAAGCTCGATGATGTAGAAACTATATATATATAGATATATGGAGTAATATAAAACAATTCTTAGTTACGCGACCGTTAACTCCCAACGGGCACGGTGTAATTAGTACGGATCAGCAGCACAGAATACTCAATTGATGGCTCATAGGCCTCTTGAAGTATTCTACCATTGCGCGCCTCTACGCTGGCTCATCTGTGGCCCGTTAGGGGGTCGAGTGGGCGGGCGGCGGGGTGGTTTAATTAGCGCGCGGACCGCGGACCGTCGGGCTACAGCCTGTCGATGTCCCGAGCGGCCCCGCAGCCCCTTTGTCTTGCCGCCTCTTTGTCCAGACACGATAAGCGGCCGCGGAGCGAGACCCGCAACGCCGGCCTCTAATCACCCGCCGAGGTCGCGCTGTGCCGCCCTCGATCGTGTGCGAATGGAAGACTATCCATGTACTATCTCCTCACGCCTCACGTAGCGAATGGGAAACAATCCGTATACTATCTCCTCACGCCTCACGTAGCTAATGGGAAACAATCCGTCTACTATCTCCTCACGCCTCACGTAAACTCTGTTACTTATTGATCAGGATTACGATCCACTCATATTAAGCCGCCTGGTCTTAATCTGTAGGTAGTTTAAAAGTTTACATATTTGTTGAAAAATTCACGAAAAGTTTTTCGCCGCAGCGAGGATTTGAACTTGCGTCCACCAGAATGGTACTGAAAAAATTAATATCTTTAAAAATATCTAATCATCTTTAGTTTCAAATATTTTATTGTAAAATGTTATATGACGTCAAACATTGCTTGAAAATGTAATTAAATTAAATTAGAAAAATACTTGAGATTTTCGCCGGTCTGAAGAAAAGTAGTTTAGTCTCACAAGTCGATAAGTCCCACAGGCAGCGGTGAAAAACCTTTCATGAAGTTTTATACTTTCATCTTGAGTGCAGAGAATAGCACTATAAAAATTAATATCCTATAAAACACTTAGGCGTAGTCCCTACTACTAGGTTTTTTAGTAAGGACTCGTAGCAGCTATGGCCACACTGCGGATTGGCGGACTTCACATATTTTCGAAATATTTTTTGTTTTTATTTCGAAAATATGTAGGTTTCCTCACGATGTTTTCCTTCAACTCTGAGCACGTGATAAGTAAGCACTTAAAATTGAACTCGGGTTTCTCAAGAATACTGAATTAAAGGTGAGCTGACCTGAAGCTATCTTAACACGAGAAGTTATTAACTGACCCATATACGAACATACAACGGGCATAAGATCCAATTCACAGTAGCCTACACCTGGGACCGATGTGCGACGCTCGATGCGCCAATTATGAAAGACAGTCATACACAAATCGCGACTATTCTGACACACTGTATGTCGCAGCGAAACATATCTTATGGGCGAAAATCGGCGCGCGATGTATATAGGCGGCGTATTTATCGGCTATGTACGGCACATTATGGCCACCACGGCCGACGTCAGCTGTGAGCTGCAGCGACCCACCCCCTCCCCCAACCCTCCCCCGCTCAACCCCCGCCCGGGCAATTCCTCTAACCCTGTCCAAAGGAGTAACTAAGGTGTTCCGAGAACCGTGAACTATTGAACGCAGCGTCAATAGATTCGGACTGTCTCAAAGCCCGGTTACGCCTTCGGCGGGGCTTGAGATTTCCTTGCATAATATAGCTGGGTGGGAATACGTGTATAACTTACCGTGCGCCAAATGCAAGGCCCATTAGCTACGTACCTTTCATAGAATTCTCTTAGTAATTAAATAGAAACATCATCAGTAATGCGTGTGTTTTTCATATTTTTTTTACGATGTGGAAACAGTGGATGTAATTTTAGCATTTATCTTAAAACACGAACGCATGATAGACGAGTCACTGAAAACACCGACTAATTTTCTTTAATAAAATGCCTTTAGCATTCAGTCCTCGTATGTACAAATCTTTGTTAATTTAAAAAATGAATATAATATGAATATTGTTTTAAAAAAAAATAAGTTTGTCAGTTGCTTACAGGGAAAATATATAAAATACAATCGTTAGGTAAAACGTTGTATGACACGTATGTGGTTATAACTTTATTTTAATATTTAATATTTTTTTGTTTCCCATTAACCAATAATTAATCCCCGTGTCTCCGGTGATGTCACGAAAGTTCGACGGATATAAATCACACCCATCTTTGGAACAACTTTTTGTCGACACGCATATCTTTTTCCATTTCAAAATTGAACCTACAACGCGATGGCAGTTGAAGAGGTGACTTACACCACTCCGCCATTCGTGCAGTAGTAAAATTAGACGATTCTGATTGTTCTTATTATTATTATTATTTCGTTATTCATTTATTTATTTCATTGGTTTCTCCGCGTTATCTGATAATAAATCCTGGCGCAAATGGTAAGTTTTATGTATTATTTTACGAAGAGTACATATGTGAGAGGTTAGCGATGGGCTGCAGGAAGTTTTGCACTGACATTGTATAAATTTATTGTTAATCGTACTATGAAATGTCTAAACGATATTGAATTAGCTTATTTAATAAATAAAAGTAAATATATTAATTATTTATTGCCTTATAATAGTTTTCTGCTCTCATCTAGTTCGTATTTATATTTTTGTTTTGTACTATTATATTTACTGTTCTATATGATTTAAACCGTGAGAGGAAACGTAACTATATATGTGTGTTAAAAATAGAACATGCATTTTAAGATTTAAGATAACGATAACCAACACTATTTTCGGTACGCTATTGTCGGTGGTGATGTGTGAAGAAAATTAAATTTTGGTTGTAAATTAAAATTAAGTTGGTGAAACTGGCACAATGCGCGTGGTTTGACATTTATGATAGCACGCAACCACATTCGTGAAGAAAGGCATATGGCACAGCAACATAAATGTAGGATAGTAAAATATATACATACTTTTGATTATCTTAGAACTTAATACAATAATCATAATAATATATGCAATATATATCTATATCTTTATTTTTATTTATTATTTATAAACCCAACCAGACGAGAAAACAAATGAATATCCCCCCAATAATAATAATAAAATATCTTTATTCACATAGACGCTTGCGCGTTCTTATGAAACGTCAAAATTTTACAAGAAATTAACACGTTCGTAAGTTACCACCGGTTCGGAAAGCAGTTTCTGTTGAGATAATACATAATACATAAATACATAATATTGTAACATAATTTATTATTATTAGAACGTTTATACAGATAACATCAGTTTATATTAATGAAATAAGTAAAAATATGCTATGTGGCCAAAAACAACAATCAATTAATTTAATTATTTGTTTACACTTTTAACTCATTTGTCCTGAATATGTTCAGAATGTACCCTACTTGAGCTCAATTAGTTAATGTCATATGCTAATGGGTGGGTACAACACCAATTCAAATCAGCAAAAGCTTAGAAACTTAGCCCGCGACTACGTCTGCGTAGAATTGGCTGAAGGCGTAACATTCAGATAGAAAGACAGATATACATAAAATATGTATATAAATTATAGCCTATGTCTTATTCTGATGTATAAGCTATATTATTGTAAAGTTTCATTAGGATCCATTCAGTAGTATTTGCGTGAAAGAGTAATAAACATCCATCCATACATACAAACTTATAATATTAGTAAGGATACTGTTATTGACTATTTGTTGTTAGAGGACAGCAGAAATACATCATCTTTGAAAATTTCAACTGTCTTACTATCACGGTTCATCAGACACAGCCTGGTGACAGATGGACAGACAGACAGGGCAGTCTTAGTAATAGGGTCCCGTTTTACCTTTTGAGTACAGAACCCTAAAAATACACTAATTTCAATAGAGATGTGAACACCTGTGAACACCGAAAACGGTTCAAAACGTCGGAAAATGAAACCAAAAATTAAAATTTTTTACGTGAGAAATCCGTTAATATATTTTCATTTAATAGTAAAAGTTTAATAAATAATGTCTTGAGGATGCTCGCAACCGGAAGGAAAGGTGGCAAAAGGTGGTGGATAAAGAATGCGTCTATCATTCTTTACCCAGAATAGTCGCAAAAGACATTTTTAATATGTCTCCATTGCGCAACGGATGCATTTCAACGAAACTGAATTCATTAGCGTACCATCTCGTACCGTCTTCATCCAAATGGGGTATTAGGTAGTGTATACCGCGCGCCTGCGAGCGACCGTTGCAACGTCCTCATGTAACTTTCAGCATTCCCGGAACACGGGCGGGAGCTAGATTCTGGTACGCGTCGCAAACTGCACAGTTTATAAAAGGCGCCCGGGGATTTCGGCCTTTGAGCGGGAACGTGCAGCGAGCGCGGCGGCCATATTGCCCGCGCGCTCAAATGAACCGCCCCCGATGTGTAGTGTTTATCTTCGTCGAGTCGTTACGTTTGCTGCCAGTTTGCTTTAAATTGACGGTAAATTGGCAACGGCCCGTCTGATGGTAATTGATACGGTCCAACGCGAGGTATTGCAAGTGCATCGTCAACTTTTTAGAGCGGGGTCCCAATAACTGGACTCTTCGAAAAGTACTTTACTAAGTTCTAGAAGGTGGTCGATATTTTTTTTTAAATTATGTTCTAGAAGCGCTTTACAAACGAAAGTAACATTTTTATTAACATAAAACGAGTAAAGTTAAGTAAAGTTACAATCTATATATGTCCGACTCCTGGGCAAAGGCCTCCTCTGCACAGATGCTATTAGGACGTAGTCCACCAAGCAGCCCCACCGCGAGCTTCACATATTATCTTCGAAACATTTTTTTTACACAAGAAAATATGTATATATTTTCTCACGATGTTTTCCTTCACTGTTGAGCACGTGGAAGCTAAACTGTAGCCAATGAAAAAATAATTTTGATAATCGGTTAATAAATGACGAAGTTCTGAGGTAACAAATAATGAACGGTAAAAATTGAAAACTTTTCTTTTTTGGAAGCCGGTAGATAAAACAAGGACAACAACTTAACAATGAAACAAATACTTGGACCGGGTAGGAATCGTAGGCAAGACCCGCGACGCCGAAGTCTCGCTAAGCAATTGCGCTAATCGAGTCATCAAGCAATAAGATATTTTTGTGAGACAACTTTCCTCGCACAGTAAGCGATCCATGCGGCAGCAAAAAGCTGCTATGTGTTGATTAAGTGTGTTTAGTTCCATAGAAATCTAATTCGCTATTTACGTAAGCTCCAGCAGATGGTCAGAAAAACGGTATATAATAAGGATTTTAAAGATTTCCGTGGAATGCAGATCCGGCTCGAAGGACCAATTATTGGGTTTGAATTAGAGTTTACTGATAAAGTTTGCCTGATGAATTATAATAAAATTAAACTTGATGAAAGACATGAACTGTTAACAGTATTTATTAATAGCTGTATTTATTGAAAATGATTGTGTATAATGATGTAATATGCTGTGCATTGCCCTGACAAAAATGTTATGATGGGTCGGTAAATTTAAAGTTCGTATAACTCCCTAAAATGACCAACGTGATATATGTATATATGATAGAGAGAACATAAACGTTTTACAAATGTCATCTTTCATCTTAACTAGTCGCTAATAGTTTGCCACATTTCCTTTCAACTAAATCCACAAATATTGAAATTTACCCTCATGAAGTCAACTATTTAGTTATTTTTCCTACAGGATATTTGCACGAATTTATAGTTTCATTGTATTTTTTAATTATATTTATAAATAAGAAAATGGTGAATCTTTCGTAAAAACATCTTTAATTCCATCCCGGAAACCCCTTACAAGAGAGCCTTCGACCCTTCCAAGTAAATTTCTTCTTAAGTGCAGTCTCCAGTACGAATTTATAACCTTTAGAAAAGGTATAATTAATTGTAAAATGTAAAATGTATATTTAATTCAAAGTAGTGTATTTAAGTATAAGTGTAATTGCAAATGAACGGTCTTAATGCGACCGTGGTCGTACTTAATTCTCGATTGCAGAACACTCGCATTATTTATTCATACGTAAGCCCCTGTCTATCGTGCATAATCAATTTAAACGCTCCACGCCCCTCTTTTCCATTTTCTGAAACCGAAGCAGACGCCAGTTTAATACTAACTGCAAATCCGTTGAGGGAGCAAGCGCGGACGCGAGCTCGAACGCACCGTCGGACCCCTGCGACCCTTTTAAAGATTCACATCGCCGCGGGCGAGTTTGGCGGGGCTCTGAAGATCGCCGTCCGCTAATACGAGGCGCAACCGGCCCCGCGGGGCGAGGCGAGTCCCTTCAACTACTCCGCACGTGGACTCTACCTAGAGCGGACTGCGCGAGGCAACGAGAGTATCTCTACCTAGAGTTTTACCGAGAGTTTGCAATCCCGACGGGGAAAAAGTTCCCTTTGTGCTCTCCGCGCCACGGGCTCTCCCGAAACTAATCGCCGAGTGCTCCTCGACCTTATTAGATACTACTCCGGTCCGAGATAACTTAATCTGCGAATCGTACCATCTTTTACTTATTTGATATATCGTTAAATAACCGTGATCAAATAAATGCAAGGGCGAAATTTGTATCAATAATGCATTTAAGTTTTGCGTGTAGTTATCACTTTTAGTCATACTTTGCTATACCTATATAACTGCCGAGTAATGTAAAAGTAAATAAACAGCCTATATGTCTCACTGCTGGGCAAAGGCCTCTTCTGTACAGAGGGTATTAGGATATGGTCTACCACACGATCCCACTGCGGATTGGCGGACTCCACATATCTTCGAAAATTTTTCTTATTTGGAAAATATGCAGGTTTACTCACGATTTTTTGCTTCACCGCTAAGCACGTGATCAATTCGCAATTAAAATAACTGTTTCATTGGTGCCGGCACCGGGATTCGAACTCGGGTGCATTGGGCATATCGAATTAAAACCAAACGCCTTCCGCGATCAGGGTTGTCGATCGTGACGAATCCGAAAGCTAGTTGCGCGCTCCGTCCAGCGGAAGGCAGCGACTAACAAAGCGCCGGCCCGCTGCGCTATCTGTCGGCTCGCTCTTATTTTGCCACCGAGCCAGCGCCAGTCGAATCCCCACATTTGTATCAAGTGGGCGAATAAAGAAGGAAACAAGTCGGATCGAACGGAGCCGGACCGCGTTCGCGACTAATTAACCCTCCCGGCCCTCCCCGGGTGGGTCGCGGCCCCCAAGCGACTCGAGGGGGGCGCGGGGAACGGGGGGGAGGAGGCAGAGTTGACCCGGCGTAAAAAATGCCCGCGACTCCCGCGAGACGCGATGCGACGCGCGGCTTCAAGTATTCCTCCGCCGAGTGCAGGTTTATTGAGCCGCGCTCGCTTGTTTCTCTCCGTCGACTCTTTTTCCCTTTTACTTTTACTTTTTTTTCTCTCTTTTATCTTTTCCTTTCTCGGTTCCCTTTTTCCCTCGGTGCCGTTGCGGATTAATCGCCGGCACGGATTTTCGTGGTACGTCTCCCTTCGTAAACTTGTTACTTGTTACCTTATGGCATAAGAAAACGTTTGTGGCGGTATAAACGGTTTTATGCTATTGCCATTACTAATATTTTACATAATTGAGTAATTAATTATGTAATCAATCCAATTTGCCCAGTTATAATAGTCAATCCAATAATATAATCTATCCAACATGCCAATTGCGCCCTCGATCACATTGAATAAATAACCTGTCTCTAATGTAAGATACAATTCATGGTTCATGTTAAATAATAACATAATAAATGCACTAAACAGCAGAAAGTATCTCGTATATTTTTCAAAAACACCTGTACCTACTTGCAAATAACCCTTATTCGAAAACTGTACTGTCTTACAATTTTGTTTTTTACAATACCTGTATCGCAAGCTCTTTTTTAGTACTTGTAACGTTTATTGTGTTAATTTTTTTTTACTAGTTTGTAATAAGCTCCACAATTTACACCATGTTTCTCGCTATACTCTATTAATAATAATAATAATAATAAAATAGACGCTTGCGCGTTCTTATGAAACGTCAAAATTTTACAAAGAAATTAACACGTTCGTAAGTTACCACTACTATTATACAACTATACTACTATTTTAACGGTGGTAAGAGGTGGTTAGAGGCTCACAGCAGCCTTGGCTGTTGCACGAATGGGCAGGCCCGTCCGGGTAAGTACCACGACGAAGTAGAAGACCAGCGTAAAGTGGAAACCACATATAAATGTTTTCCGCAACCTAGTGTTTATTAAAATTGGCAAACAAAGCATTTCCGTGCTAAAAAGAGACTATACTTAGGTTTTGAAGTTCTCTCCACTTTTATTTTATTGGAAGTTATAAACATACATATTTTGTCAACAGGCATAAATAGCAAAGACTTTTTGAACTAATTCCAGTGTTTCATTTAGTTTGGGTATATAATTAAATGCATACGGTATGGCAAGTTTAACGTATTTATTGGACTTTTGATCAAAACTAGGCATCTTATGTTTATATAAATAACTAGCTGACCCGGAAAACGTTGTTTTGCAATATAAATAATTTGTAGTGTAGAAAATAATGTTTGGGGTGGACCAACCTTAATATTTAGGGGATAAAAAATAGATGTTGTCCGATTCTCCATTGCTGATGCTGGCCGATATGCACACAAAATTTCACCAAAATCGGTCGAGCCGTTTCGGAGGAGTTCAATTACAAACACCATGACACGACAATTTTATATATTAGAAGGTAGGTGATAGATAGGTTATGCCGAAGGAAATACGCAGAAACTAAGGAAGTTAAAGTATGCAAATAAAAAGAAGGAGATGTAGTATGTGATTCTTCTACTTTTCTTCTCTTCTTTTTTTCCTAATATTTTTTAAATTAATTTAAGGTTTAATCACCTTTTAAGATCTTATTAACTAATTAATTAAAGAAATCTAACTAATTAATAAAAGAGTCACATCACAGCCTTTAATCACATCGCAACATTTTTATCAATATTATGTACATTAGTTTTTGATGAACTGAGAATTAATATACACGACAGTTTCTGGTACACTAACTGAGATGTCCACCTACATTGGACCAGTGTAGAGAATACTCCTAATTTTACTAACGCTTAGCTCGGTAATCCTAAAAGGCGTGGGCACGCCGCGCGATGACCCCTTTTAGAGGGGTCCGCGATTTTACGATCTATTTACGGCGCCAGACGCCGTTAGCGAATCGCAGGTGTGCCTCGGTCCGTGGCGTCTGTTTTTAAATTTGGAATCGTACTTTTGCCGCCGTAATAGCTCATTTTCCGGGCGCTCGATTTAATTCAATATACTCGAGCAGCCTGATTCCGATCCCGTTGGAAGTTCCCAGTGGAATTGTTAACAGCTAACACGTGGTTCACCTGATGTTAAGTGATAACCGCCGCCCGTGGACATCTGTACCTGGTGAGGATTTAAAAATGGATTTGGCTATTATTGAACCTTCGACTCCGGAAATACTACAGAGCACTCTTCAAAATCAAGTAGAAAAGTTGTTTGTTAGTGAAAATTAACGTTTGTAGTTGTCGAATGACAACATACATCATTTTCTGGGTATTGAACCGTTTACTCGGGCCATACATCATGAAACTGCTCAAAAAAATGTGATTTGAATTTGGTTTTGTTTTTAGGGTTCCGTACCCAACGGGTAAAACGAGACCCTATTATTAAGACTCCGCTGTCTGTGTGTCTCTTGTCCATCTGTCACCAGGCTGTATCTCATGAACCGAGATAGACAGTTGAAATTTCCACAGATGATGTATTGCTGTTGCCGCTTTAACAACAAATACTAAAAATCCGAATAAAAAATATGTAAGTAGGGCTCCCATACGACAGACGTGATTTTTTTGCCGTTTTATAGATAACGGTGTACGGAACCGTTCGCGAGTTTTTTTTTAAAGATTTTATTCTCCTCATTGTATCTGAGAGCATACATTTTCATATCCACATAGAAAAATGAATGTAAAAAGTAAAATTTAAAAAATTACGTTCTTTTTTTAACAATAAGCTATTCGTGCACGTTCGTAATTGTCGAACGATGTCCAAATGCAACCTATACCGGCTTTTTCTGGGTTTTGTGGGCCGGTCTGTCGTTTGCTGGCTCTGTGGTCGTCGCCCACCGCGACGGGATGTCCGCGCGCGCGCAGCGGTCCGCGGCGCGCCCAGGATGCGGTCACGCACGCCCGCGGGATCGCATCGCCGCCTCGCAGTCCGCGCCGGCTCCAGTGATGCGCCCGCGCAGCGTCGACGTCGATATCGATAAGCCGATTGCGGAAAGGGTCACACCGATCGCTGCCGATCCATTTTTTATTGATCGATGTTTCATTGTTGATTACGATAGAAATATTAATAAATATAAGAATATAAAATTTATCGTGTTCGTATCCTAGCCTCCTAAAAGTAGGTAACACAACACATACGAGGATTAGGGTTACTAATTTCGTTGAATTTTAGATTGTAGATGCATCTACTTATTTCTGTGTCGAGAATGATTAAAATTGTTAGGCCAACGTTAATTTTTATAGTAAAGTTCTCATGTGTGTGTCACCGTCTTGTGAAGGAGTTGTTACATACGTATATGTTGGTTTGTGGGATTGAGAAACAAATTCTTTGTAATAGCACACTTAAATTTATTTAATCTCTTCACAGCAAGAACACGTTAATCAGTTAACAAAAGAAAGGGAAATCATAGACAATGTTGCCAACTTATTTTAAATATTAAAGTTAAATTTTTATTCATATTCAATACTCCCACTAAAATTTAACTCAGTATAAAAAATAACAAAAAAATTAATCAACATCATATAAAATCTGATCTCTCAGATATGTAAAACTTTGAGTGGGTAATGATTTAGTTAAAATGTCCGCTAATTGACAATTGCTTGGAACATAATTAATTTTAACTAAACCCAATTCCACCTTTTCCCTTATAAAGTTATATTTAACATCTATGTGTTTTGTTCGTTTATGATAAACAGGATTATTAATTAATTTTATTGTACTCTGATTATCTACATTTAATTTGATATAATCATAACTTTCACCCAAATCAGACAATAGCTGCTGTAACCACAATACTTCTTTAGTACATTCACTAGCAGCTACAAATTCAGCCTCTGTGGTGGAAAGAGCAATGGTCTTCTGTTTCTGACTGGACCATGTGATTGGTCCTCCATTCATCATAAATAAATATCCTGTAGTGGACTTACGTGTATCAATATCACTTGCAAAATCTGAATCCGAATATCCAACAAGACCTATGCTTTCTCCATTGTACTTTATACACAAATTCTTACTTTTTATTAAATATCTAATTATGCGTTTAAAAGCGTTTACATGTTGTGAACTTGGATTGTTTACATATCTGCTTAATACATTTACAGCAAATGAAATATCTGGCCTTGAGACAGAACTCAAAAACAGTAAGCAACCTATAGCTTCTCTATAAGGAAAATCAACAACAATTTCCATCAACATTCTTTGAAATAATAACATCTAACATAATTTGAAATAATGACATCTGCTGGAGTGTTGACAGGATTTGCATCACTCATACAAAACTTCTCAATAATTTGATTAATATAATTTTTCTGATGAATGAAAATATTGTTATTTATACGCTCTTATTTCCATGCCTACAAAATATTTGAACTTTAACTCTTTGATTTTAAAAGCTTGTTTTAAATATTCTAAAATCTCTTTTATAAGTTGTTTACTTGAAGATATTACAAGAGCATCATCAACATAAATAATTAAGAATACTTTAGTCCTATCAAAAAGTCCTACATAAATACAATTATCAGCCTGAGATTGAACAAAACCATATTTAAGCAAAAACTCTGTAAATGTTTTGTTCCAGCATCTAGATGCCTGCTTTAAACCATATAGTGATTTATTTAATTTTAAAACAAAATCCCATTCAATTGCCAAACCCTCAGGTATATCAACAAAAATATCCTCGTTAAGAAACCTCATTTAAAAAAGCAGTCTTTACATCAAACTGTTGAATATCTAAGTTATACTTGGCAGCAACAGAAAGTATAATTCTTATAGAATCATAACGGGTTGTTGGAGAAAATATTTCTTGATAATCAACATCCATAATCTGATTAAAACCTCGTGCACACAAACGAGCCTTATAGCGTACAATTTGATTATCTTCATTCTTCTTTATTGTAAAAACCCACTTTGTAGTAAGGGTTCGTTGACCAGACCTTTTAACCGCAGTCCAGGTATTGTTTTCTTTATGTGCAGACAATTCTTCTTTAATAGCTTTAGACCATTCATTCTTTTGTGGATTATTCAGTGCCTCTGTATATGTTTGAGGCAATGACAGTTCTACAAGATTTGCTTCATAATTTCTATTGATTCTTGGTCTTAAATTTATTGTGTGTATTGTTGGGTCGTCTAATTCTCGAGATGGTTCATAGTCCGGGTCATCACTGTTACCACCGGTACAACTCAGCATGCTATCTTCACTCTCTAGTGACGGACTGTCAATTAAAGTATCATCCATAGTATTGGATTCTTCTGATTCACTCTCATTTATATTTGTAACTTCATCATCTACAATACTTATTTGTGCAATATTTTTCCTTGTGGTTGTAATATGATGTTCATCAAAAATTACATTTCTTGAGATGGTTATTTTCTTTGTATCCATATCATACATTCTATAATTGATATTGTCATAGCCAACAAGTATCATTTTCTTGCTTTTCTTCTCCAACTTTGTTCTTAATTGATCTGGAACATGAACATAACCATTACTACCAAACACCTTAACATGTCCTAATTGGGGTTTGATCCCATTCCACAATTCAAAAGGTGTTGTATTTGGAGTCTGGGTGGAGGATGTTCTATTTAATATGTATGTAGCACATTGCACAGCTTCTGCCCATAGCTCCAATGGGACATCTCGTGCATATAACATTGAACGTGCACTCTCCACTATGGTACGTTTTTCCCTTTCTGCTCGACCATTTTGTTCAGGCGTATATGATGCAGTACGCTCATGAACTATTCCCGCCCTCTCTAAATACTCCTTAAAATCTTTGTTTACATATTCAGTTCCGTTGTCGGTATGTAATATTCTGACATTGTGCATGAATTTATTTTTAATTACAGCGTTATACTTTTTGAAGGCTTCCATGACATCACTTTTATGTTTAGTAAAATATACATGCCTGTAACTTGTTGCAGCATCTTTAAAAAGTAAGAAATATCTCATACCTTGTATAGAAGAGATACTCATAGGTCCACAAACATCACTGTAAACTAGGTCACCTGGCTGTAGTTCTCCTCGCTGAGATTTGTGAAATGGGAACTTACACTGCTTCCCATATGCACATGCTTCACATACAAAATTACTTTGTTCATTGTCAATGATATTCAGTCCCTTCACAACACTATTTGCACACATGTTTTTAATTTGTTTTAAATTAATGTGTCCTAACCTTTCATGCCACATTTTCATATCATTTTGGCTATTTTGAACCAAGTTACATGTATCTGGAACCACTGTTTTTATGTTCAACTCATATAAATTATTGTCTAAAATATTTGCACTCATCACCACTTTATGGTTTTTATAAATCAGGGCACTTGTGTCTTTCTTTACAATTGAATATAATTTGCGTATTATAGCCCCTTCAGAGAATAAGTTTCTTCTTAAACTTGGAACATACAACACATCATTCAGTTCACTAGTCTCCCACTGTTCATTGACATATCTCTGTATCAATACTTTTCCAATGCCGGATACTTCCACAGATTGTTTATTTCCTAATGTCAATGATTTCTGGTTACATTCAAATAATTCCAAAAAGAAATCCTTTCTAAATGTCATATGGGCAGAGGCACCACTATCTAGAATCCAAGTATTCTCTTCAGCATTACATGAATTATGTTCCACATAAAATGCCAACATATCTGTACCTTCTTGTCGAGGTTTTCTAGCCTTGGATTTTTTTGGAGCATGGCATTCTCTAGCAAAATGCCCCGCTTGCCACAATTATAGCATTCGAATCTATGTTTATTTGCTTTATTATTCTGATTTGTATTGCTCTCACTCGCTACTTGTTTACTTTGTTTTGGCTTTGTTTTCCATCCTTTATTGACAACAAGGAGAGCTGTCTCATGTTCCTCTTCACCTGCTTAGCTCGCCTCTTCATCCAATAAACGTGCTGTTAGATTAACAATAATTTGTTGTTTTGAGTCCAATGACATCCATGCTTGACGCAGTGGTCTATACTTAGAAGGCAAAGTTCCCAATATTTTATTTATTTTAATGATTGCCATGTCACTGATAGCTTCACCACTTTCTTTCAGTTGTTTAGCTAAGGTTTCCACTTTTGAAATATGTTGAGCTACACTATCAGCCGGCGACATCTTGTACTGATAAAATTTTTCGTGAATTAACATTTTGCACAGTTCACTTTTTTGTTCATAAATTGATTCCAATTTTGACATAATTTCAAAGGCAGTTTCGCAATTTTCAACTAATGTGATTTGTTTGAAGTCCATCGAAGAAGTTATGATGGACATTGCTATGCCGTCACTTTTCAACCAATCTGTGCAGTCTCTTTGTGGTTTTGGTTTCGAAATATCTATTTCTTTAGCCTTTAGAGCACATTTTATTTGAAATTTCCACTGACGAAAGTTGTTTCCATCAAATTTTTCTAAATTAATTGACCGCGTGGAATCCATTTTGAGATTATTTTGTCAAATATTTCTCAAATAAGATTGTAACTTTTTCTTTGCTGATTACTTCTGTACTTCTATGTTCAGAGTATTCTGGGCCCATAACCTGTTGGTTTGTGGGATTGAGAAACAAATTCTTTGTAATAGCACACTTAAATTTATTTAATCTCTTCACAGCAAGAACACGTTAATCAGTTAACAAAAGAAAGGGAAATCATAGACAATGTTGCCAACTTATTTTAAATATTAAAGTTAAATTTTTATTCATATTCAATAGTATACAGCCAGTGCGGGGGGGTATCATTATTTATAAAAAATGTTTATAAAAGATATCGATATAAAGAGGACATCACTATATCGAAATACCGCGGGCATTGTGTGTCGTCGCCCGCGCAGCTGGGAAGCGCGCCCCCCCTCCCCGCGGGACCCCACACCCCCGCTCGCCCCGCACCTGGCGGCCGACGGAATCGCTCCCACACATTGTAAACTGCTATCAGTAAATGCGCCCATAGCCATAAACTAAGTATCGGGAAACAAAGTATCAACACATTTGCAAATATCACACCAACGTTTTTTGGGAACATCCCTGATGTATCCCTAAAAACTCGAAGTCGAAGGTCTAATTCCAATGAATTTATATCGACCATATGGGAGCTAAAACGAACTCGATACAAAAAGAATTTTTAAAATCTGTTCGTAAATTACGGAGTTAACAACAAATATAAAAAAAATTAAACCGTATTGACAAGCTCTTTTTTGAAGTCTTATGAAAACTCCATCAGAGCAATTAAACTCGTAATACGAACAACCGTAAAACATTTGGAAGGAGCTGTGATGATATAATAAACTCGAACCGTAAACGAGTAATCTCGATTAAACATGTGCGATATGAATTCGCCGAGAATTTATTTCTCGTCCCCATTATATCCGTTCGTTGTTAAGTGGTAATGACAAGCCACCTGTTGCTTTATCTCTCCGCTAGAGGGCGGCGTGTTGCGAGAAATAATATCCGTCATGAACGGGTCACAGTCACAGACGTATTATTATGTGTATTTGTATATGTATGTACGCTATGATGTACAGTTTTGTTCAATGCGCTTCACTGTGTCTCAAGTTTCCGAATCGGATCGAAAGGGAATACTTTCTTCTGTAGTGGTAGGCGTGCATGTGTAATACTACTAATAACTATTTAGAGTAAGACAATTGCATTAGAGATGCGCGCGGTGTGTTTACGGGGGTACTCTTGGGGGGGGGGGGGGGGGGGGGAGTGATACGAGATCCTATTACCTTCTAGGATTTTATGACCGCTAATATAAACATTTACAGCTATCTTTTTGTTTAGTATAGTTTAATTAGTTGAGTTATCACACTCGCAAGCTCGCCATGTAGTCAATTTTAAATTTTGTGAAGTGAAATATGTGTACATGCTATTAGGGAATAATGTACCATCATAGTCATCGGACACGTGGGATCTGATTATCCCATATATATATATATATATATATATATATATTGCTTATGGAGCTTTAAAAGTGTGCGGACTCGAAGAAGAAACATCGGCTAAAGTGAACACCGTAGGTAGATAAAGGCGTCATAAGGCGACGTCGTGGCGAGAGTCAGCAATTGGGGTCGCGGACGCCACCCGCCCCGGCCTCAATTACGGACGCGCGGAGGCCCCAATCGATATCGCGCGATCACCGCGAATGGCGGGCGGCGGGTCCCACGGTCGGCCGTGGGGCCCCGGCGAGTTGCGGACCCCGCACGGATGATTTCACGTACATAGGGGACGCCGTGATAAGTGTTGTAACGATGGTACACGAACGCGTCCAGTTCAAGCCGGCTGTCCACCGTGAGATATGGAGAGGCGTCATAAATGAACACACGCCTAACGCTACTTGCCAATAATCATAAAAAATATAAAAATTATATTTTTTTTTCAAACAAACCAATTACATAAAGAAGATACTAAATTTAATTAATTATTTAATCTCCTATACATCTACAACTGACTGTTTCATACTTTCAAACTAATCATAAGCTTTTTGACTTTTACAAATGGATTACGTAAGGTGTAACACGTAAGGGTGTTCTAAAATTGTATATTTTGGTAAGAATGTAAATGTTTAACACAATTTTAAAAAGTTATCATCTATGTGTGTGTTGATGGTCGAGATAGAAACGTTGTATTCTGGTGTTAAAATAATATTACTGTTATATTGAAGACCGAAGTGAAGTAGATTAGGTTGTCAGTGAGGTAGCGGGCCCTCACTTTATTAAAAGTTGGCAACGCATTTGTAACCTTACGGGTGTTGCAAATTACAATTGGCGGCGGTTATCGCTTCAACATCAGGTGAATCGCCAGCTCAAATGTCACCTTCTCACATGAAACAAGTCATTTTATTAATAACGGAAAACAAAACCGGCTTCAAATGTCTCGCTCTGTGTTCATTTTATAGTTGATTTACAGACGTTTTCCGGATCCCAAGAAATTAACATGGGAAGTACCATCTTCCAAATAAAAAAAAGAATCATCAAAATCGGTTCACACATTGAAAAGTTCTGTGGTAACAAGCAAAAATAAAAATACAGTCGAACTAACAACCTCCTCTTTTTGAAGTCGGTTAAAAATGAGGAGGTATATCAACTGTCAATACATATTAATTACAAAATAAATTAACAACAATATTTTACTACTTATAAATTAACACATCTTTCCTGAAAATAATCGACGAGTTATCTCCATTATAAATCTATTAGAGATTTGATTTCATTTTGATTACTCCGTGGCCCATTTGCCAAGGTTTGTACAAGCCTTCGCCGCCGGAAGTCGTGGGTTCGATTAACACACGTGACAATTATTCGTGTAACACACAGATAATTGATGTATGTAAAACTTCCTTATAACACAGGATTATGTTAGCCTACACGGCAATGTTTCAAAAGAAAAGACAAGGGAACACAAACAGTATGCCGATTTGGAGTTCATCGGATATTTAAAACCAAATTGTGCGTGAAATAGTTTTCTAGAATCATGTCTTGTGAATAAAACAAAATCATTGCGTATGTATGTGAAATATACAGCGTGTCGTTACCATCGCGACAATAAATGAACACGCATATAGGGGATAACTTTTTAAAGTTGTATTAAACATTTAAATTCTTTAAACATCAATATTTACAGAGTTATTAAATTTTCCAAAACAAAGAATTTTAGAACACCCGTACCTATAAAAGCGTAACGTAAAGTTCATTTGTAAAGGTCACAAAGCATATGAATGGGTTGAATGAATTTAAAAGAGACAAAACATACTGTTAGAAGGAGAGGCTTGTAATACGACGCTGTGACGCGAGTTGTATAGATGTTAAAAATTTTGTTTCTTTATTACTTAATTAGTTTGTTTGAAAAATATTTTTTTTTAATTATGGATTTTGTTTACCGTTAATATTTTTTTATGATTATTGGCAAGTAGCGTTAGACGTGTGTACATTTATTGTCGCGATGGTAACGACACGCTGTATAATTAGAATTTCGTGTTTTAAAGTATAGTATATCATGTAAAGGAAAGCTAGTTTTATTCGTCAGGAGCCTATTGTAGTTGTTAGTTCGATGGAAAGTTTTTAAACGCCTCTTTCACATGTTCCAACCATAGTATTTTATACGGGCAGGATGGCAGGCCTCCTCAACAAAGAATACGAGTAACAATCCCCATGTGATCCTGAGTTTCTAAGACGTTTTTAGGGTTCCGTACCCAAAGGGTACAACGGGATCCTATTACTAAGACTTCGCTATCTCTCTGGCTGTCTGTCATCAGGCTGTATCTCATGAACCGTGATAGTTAGACAGTTAAAATTTTCACAGATGCTGTAATTTCATTTAAGTGGGGCTCTCATACAAAATACGTCAATTTTTTTAACGTTTTTATAGACAACGATACAGAACCCTTCGAGCGCGAGTCCGACTCGCACTTGGCCGGTTTTTATCTAATACTTAACTAGTTGTGCCCAAACGTTTCAATGTCCTATTTCATAACTACCGCTGTGACTTTGGGTAGTTAACACTAGCGCGTTTTAGAAAGAACAATACTTCAGCATCGGCGAAGTGCAGACGCGTGCGTCCATATTCATAGTTGGGGTGGAGGTAATTAACAATAAAATAAATAATATTTTACAACACATTTTTACACAACGTTCTCTCCTCCCAAACTAAGCAACGCTTGCACTAAGGGTACTATATAGCTGATAAACATGCTTAAACATACTTTTCTTTTGTAAATAAATACATATTATACATATTTAAACACACAGGCACCAAAAAAATCGGTGATGCCAAGGATCCACGCGTCGCCCCCAAGCGATGTCAATGACACCCGAACTTGACTACGCCCACGGCAGGTGGAACAATGAAACACATTAAGCCATCGACGGCTGTTGTTAGACAAAAACCACTCGCGAACTTAAATGGATCGGTCAGTTTTTCGTGGGCGGGGCAAGTAAACTCGATTGAACCCAGTTTTCGCCAAAGTCTCTTCTGTCGGCGTGATCAATGAAACATTATCATTAGAAATGAGAATTTTTCAGATAAACTATCTAAAGTTTTCGGCGCTAGGGATTCGACCCTGCGTCGTCGTTGAAAATTCACACTTTAAGTTTCATCTCGACGTTTCGGCGCAACTTATGTCGTCAATGTTGAACACACTCCTGTCATTCGATCAACGACGTACGGTTTGATGACATGCGAATTCTATCCAGTCCGTAGTACAATGCCCTGATACCCTCTATATCAGAGCTTCTTAGGTGTTCTATCACACATAAGAAGTATGGGCTGTTTATGCTGCAGTAATTTACCATAACCTGTCATTTACCATAAACGTACACCTCAACCCATTGTTGAGGTGTACGTTTTTATACTTAGCCATTTTGTTTCAATCAAAATAAAGCGCGATCTCTTTTCAATCTCTATTTATTTCTTCAGTTTTATTTTTGCTCAAATTAATATGAAATATTGTATGAACATGTCTGTAAATTGTCAAAACTGAATGAACTCGTTTTAGTATTAATCGATGCTTCAAATAAAAAAAATTTTGTCATCTAAATGGTAATAGTAACTGGCAACAACAGGACAGGCCTTGAATAGTGAGGTGCCAATGGGCAATATGTTTATTGACATGAGCAGAATTACAATAACATTGTAATTCTGCTCATGTCAATAAACATCTTTTTCACATCAATTGCCTAAAATAGTTTTATTTAACCACGTACAGAGGTCGCGTAAATACATGAAATCGTTATTTTTAACATAACTTCATAGCAATCTTTGCGTTTTTTTTTCTCATCAATTTCCGACGAGATGCAATACCGTATTGACAACATTGACTGCTAAAGTGTAGTAATTCCACTACAAGCCAATCTTCTGTGGGGCCGTGGTACTTCTACTGACGAAGCTGCACTTTTAATTAGAAACTAGCTGTAACCGCGACTTCATCCGCGTGGAATTTAAAATATATAAAATTACTAAAATAAAAGAGCCATAGTTACTCCTTATTACATCAGCTATCTTGCAGTGAAAGTTCAGTCCCAATCGGTTAAGCCGATTCAGAGATTAGCCGAAACAAACAGATAAACAGAAATTTTTTGTAAAAAAATCAATTTTGGTAAATATATCATTTATACATCCATATGCATTTAGTAAAAAGTGGTTATTGTAATGTGTAGTATGTGTAGATGAACCTATATCATACAGTCTTACCTCATCGCAATTCCTCTCAGTGAAATAATTTAACGAATGTGTTATACCGATAAATTCGGCATAGACTGTATTAGCAAATATAGCCGGTGTGGTACGGATAATAAGTATTTTTGTTAATCCTTAACCTCATGTTAACAGTACATTTGATTCTAATTTTTCTTCGGCACAAATATCACGAGTTTTCTTAAGTCTACTTGATCAAAAATTGAAGTGTCGGTGTAAGTTCTAGATAAACGATTTACTGAAATGATGACTAGACATGACATGATGAACCGTATTATTAATTAGTGAAGTATTTTTTTAGTATTTTGCAGTTCCGCTACAGGTGTTATAAAAATTAAAAAAGCCTTACAGATATTAAATATCTATATTTTGATTACTCCGTAGCGCAGTTGCCCAAGGTATTGACTTCGGCGTCGGGGGTCGCGGGGTCGATTCCTACACGGGACAACTGTTTGTGTGACCTACAGATATTTGTTTCGTATCTGGGTGTTTGTCCACGTGAAATTTATGTTTGGAAAACGATACATGCACGTTACAACACAGGATAATGTTATGGTAAAGTAAGGGCATAACTATAAGTACAAAAAGAAAAAAATATATCACGCATTTTGATTATTGATTGGATGTTAGAAGTAGGGGTCGTTGTTACGGTATAAATTCGTAGAGGTTGTTTAGTCCAGTAGATATATAATGGAAGTGTACCAAAAGGGATCAGGTCTCAAACAAACAACCGCTACCATACCCTTATCGGATTACACGTTGCCAAGCGTATCGCGTAAGCGTATTTGAATCACGCGGAACGCTCCAAATCCCTGCCGACGCTCATCAATAAAGGTCCGTGCGAAATTCCCTTCTCGAATATCTTCGGCTCTCGGCCGTTTGTACGTAAACACGCAAAATCCCTCCGAAGGTACGCCGCGGTCTCTAGACATGTGCGGGACATAAATTTGGCGAGCGTCGCTTAGGTACCTACGGGCCGGCTATGTGCCGCAGTATATAACGGTGGGGCGGCCAAACGCCTCGCGACGCAAACGGGACACGTGGGCCGTGCTGAGCGGACATGTCATGCCACTACACGATAACTATCGAATCGACGGGTATTTCGATAACATTTTCATTTTACCTTAGAACGCGCGATCTGCAATCCAGTCGAGACTATCCCGTGACAAGGACCAGTTGTCCGGTGTACTTAGAATTCGGGACGGTTCCGCGGGATCGCGCGACGTGCGGACACCCTAGTAAGAAGCTATGTACCGATGTAGGGAGCAACACGGGCGTCACTTATCCGCGCGGAGGATGCGGCCGTCCGATCGCCCCCGGCCACCCCACCGGGTGGGCCCCCCTCGCGATTCATTAAGTCGGGCGCGGCGGACGCGGCGGACGCGTCGCGGAGTCTCCGTGAATTCAAATTAGAGACGGCTCGGACGTCGTGCAATAGTGTTGGACCGTTGTCGATTTCCCGCCTGCGATTGTATCGATGTGTTTATGAAAGACCGTGGGCGATGTCGACATTGAAAAAATCCTATAAAATACGCTCTGAAGGAACCGATGTGACTACCAGTTGTGGTTAGTCCTCGAGTCTGAAAGTAAAAAAAACAGTATCTAATCAAGGTACAGAGACTTCGAAAAGATTGAAAGGTCTACATGCTGTAAAATTTAAATCTCATTGTCATCGTTCTCCTAGGAGGGGTCGACACAACATGTGAAACTTGTTGTGAGTACCCATGACGCTCCATTAGTCATTCGTCTAATTTCTTAACAATGACCCCTCTTAAAACTAAAGGCCATTCAACTTTTACGTCCTGTGGCAATGAATTTTATTCCCCATTCCTAGCCATAGCCCATTCGTAGAAATCACTTTCACAACACAAAAAAAAACTCTTGTTTAGAAACGCACAGGCCCACGTTGCACCTGTCTCTGTCACATCGGCCGGGAACACGGGAACAAGTGGACGCAATCTTCCGCGACGCCAGCGCGACTATGTCCCTTTTAGGCTACCAAACCTTGTGCGATAATTAAAAATCTGTAAGTTGGATTTTATCACAAAATCGCATGTCCAAAAACATCGACATCATGCGGTGCGGTGCGAGGCGCACCACTAGCGCCCCTTTGTCTCGGCAAGACAGACGCGCTCGTGGCGCGGGTGGCGCGGCACGGAGGGCTCGAACCGCGCTGGGGGGCGAAACGCGGCCCGCGGGGGGCCGGGGGGTGGCGAAGCACGTGCCGGACGGAAGTCGCGCGGGGCGTCGAGCCGCGCCGCGCTAAATGATTCAAAAGCCGCCCGGACCTGCAAGATTTATGCCCCTTCCCGATCCCGGCTAGATTAAGGATGTCGCGCCGCGCCTCCATTGAAACACACCAAACTAGTCCCGGTGCGAATCGCGACCGACCTGGCACCTCATTCAGCACTTGCTTATCACACCGCGTCGCCGTATTATCACGCTGACTCTTTACGTAGGCTGCTCGAATTGTGAACGAAAATGAAATGCTAACTGCATTTTACTGCTAAGTCTTAACTAGGTAGCGAAAACGTTGGCAATTTTGCAAGCCCTTTAACTGACTCGAAACGGTGATGACACGTATCTAGCTAGCCAACAACTTCAAGAACAAGACCATTTTCTCTAACCCCCACGCTTAATGGGTCTTTTGGTCCTGGTCAACAACCGTGATAATTTTGCTTCCGGTCTTGTCTTCTGTCTGTAGAAACGGCACAACATATTACTGATGTTGTTAATGGCATTGGCAAGGTATTCTTTCTAGGAGCCGCCTGCCTAATGTCAACCCTACTAGGGAATAAAAAACAAAGGAACGAAAATCATATCTATGGGGAATCGAACCCACGACCTCCGGGGTCGAATCCAATAGTTTAGCTACTGCAACATGGGGTCGTCTCACATCTTATTTTCCTGTGAGATTAGTAATTCTTACTTACATTCTTCCTCTTGTACCTTGTCGTTTTTCACGAATCTTGGACGTTTTTCACGGGGTTTTTGTAGCCAAAGTCGACCGTTATAATCACTCAGATTAAGTTGAACTTAATCTGAGTGATTATAACGGTGATCGCGGTGTTGCGAGAACAATTGGCAAATCTGACTTAGATCCGAACGACATATCTTTATCATTAAACACCTTTCAGCACTACAGACATACGGTTAGCTATTGGCATCGTATTGTGAAAAAAGTGAGCCGTGTAACTTCAACTTAATTCAGCGTAAAGCACTTCAAGACGTGAACCGATTGAATACTAAAACGTACCTTAAATTTATGAAGCGGCGAGCAGCGGCGCTGGAACTGGAAACGAAGATAAAAGTTTTATTTACGTAGAGTTTTTCGCGCGATGCTCTATTTTCGGCATTCCATTGTTTATTGACGCCCACGTAATTGAATCCACCTAATGGAGTCAATAATGGAGTCCATCCACATAATCATCGCCTTTAGTGGATCAAACCAGTGTGAGTATTACCCATACTAATCATACTTATATTATAAATGCGAAAGTAACTCTCGCTTTCACTCCAAAACTACAGAACCGATTTAGATGAAATTTGGTACACAGATAGTCTAGAGCCTCAGAAAGGACATAGGCCATTTTTTAATTGGAAAAAAGTGTTGTAAAGGGTTGAAAGATATTAATTTAAGGTCTTCGACGCGGGCGAAGCCGCGGGCGAAAAACTAGTGAAAGATATAAGAGCCGTGATAGCTCAGTGTCCGGGCGCTCGCTTCATTATACTCGAGCAATCCGAGTTCAAATCGCGGTGTCTGCACGATGTTACGCTTTCAGTCCTTAGACTATTAAAGCTTCATCGAACGCAGAATGATATTGTTAGTTTTAAATGGTGACTCATCACGTGCTCAGCGGTGAAGGGAAACATCGAAAGGAAACCTGCATATGTATTTTCGAAATAATAACAAAAACAAATATTACGAAGTTATGCGAACTCTGCCAATCTGCAGTGGGGTCGCATGGTGGGCTCCGTTCAGATACCCTCTGTTCAGAGGAGTGGTGGTGGTATCTGTGGGTCACATAAATAGTTGTCCCGTGTGGGAATCGAACCCACTATCCCCGACGCGGAAGCCAATACCTTGACAGCCAGTGGGACATGGATAGGCTATTGAAAGGTCACCGCTCCCACGAGTACGGGTCCAAGGGTTTTTGTGGGTTAAGAACTCCACATAACCTTGTCTTTCACTCGGGAAAGTGGAGAGCTTTGAAAATTTTTCTTTCGATATCGAAAAAAAATAATTAAAACAATTGAAATACTGGTTTTAACCTCACCTGCCCTTCCTGGGTAAACATGATCAATTCAAAGATCCTTTATTGTTCCGAAATAAAAAAGTGTAGTTCCTACTAATGATCAACGGTGTATTTAGACTACGGTACCACAGTTACAATACGTGGTGTTGACAATAAACTATAAATATATAAATTTTAAAGTTTTTTATAGTTCTAATCTCTGCACTTAAGATTGAACATTAAAACATGTAGAAAAAGTACGAAAAGATTGTCGCCGCTGTGGGAATCGAACCCACGTCTTCAGCAAGCGCGCATCTAGCCACTGATCAGCCGTTTAGCTCAGTGGCTAGAGCGTTAGGCCGAGATTATATATACATATATAAAATATTTTAAACATAAAATATTTTTTTAATTACGGATTTTGTTTAACGTTAATATATTTTTATGATTATTGGCAAGTAGCGTTAGACGTGTGTTCATTTATTGTCGCGATGGTAACGAAACGCTGTACATATATACACGAATTGCTCGTTTTAAGGATAAGATAAATATATGTTAACCCATTACATATTCCATAATACAAAATGTTATGAATTAATATAGGTATCCACGCATTCTCCCTTGTCAATGCAGAGTTCCACGTTAAGATCTGAAGATTGAAACATGTATTCTTTTTGCATAGAGTCCATCAATGACAAAAGAGTGAACGCATAACAACAATTTCGGCTGCCCTATCTGCGCACATCTGACGTCAACTCCGCGAAGTGACAACTATTTAACGCCCATTGCCCAACCGCTGTATAATGCGTGATGACGTCACCGCTTGCGAAGGCCCGTAATTACGAGCGGCCAAACATTCGTGCCCATTTCACGAGCGCGTCCCGTTTCCAGCTCGACATTAAAGTTCCGCATTTCGGGAGCGCAGTTAGTTCCGAGTTGGAGTTGGTGACGGAGAGGCCAATATGCAAATGCGAACTTTCCCTGCCCCGCATCGGAACTGGCGGCGTGGGGGCGGCAGGGGGAGGGCGGGCGGCGGCGGGCAAGGACGGGCGGCCGCTGCACTTGGCCGATTTATGGCCGCCCCGTCGCGTTCTCAATTGAAATTTCGCGAACTTACGCGGCGCGTTAGGCGTTCTTTGTACGAGGATAGGCTTGGCTGGAGCTATAGCGGTGGATATAAGGTTCGATCCTGGCGACTAAAACGTTTTTTTTTAAAACAAAGCCCTTACTGTAGGATAATGTGATCCTCTGTTGTAAGGATGTTATACAAAAATAAATTTCACGAGGACCCAGATCCGAAACAATTTTATCTGTGGGTCCCACAAACGGTTCCGTGCGGGATTCGAACCCACGACCCACTGAAGCCAATACCTTGACAACGGCGGCACGGAGTCATTTACAAACATTCAAATTAACGACGAACTCATTATATTCTCAAAGAGAGTTATGGTCATATTGATACAGAGTAAAATTAGAGAAACTGATGCATCGAAACAATAAAAATAAAACAATTGAAAGTCTAGATGATCCGATACCGTGACGTCAGATCGTATATTAACATAAAAGTGTCTTCAATGAAATATATTCTACTTTGTGTCTGATAATCTGTTAATATATTCAGTAATAGCACTTGTATTTATATTGCACTATAGCTTGTAGCTTGTTTCGATTATTTATAGCTAAATTTAGTTCTCACTCAATTCAATTCTTAACAAAATGTCCTTGTAGATAAAGCCACGTGAATGTGGTTTTCATTCAATGTCAAATATCTTTATTCAATATAGGTTTCAACTTAAGCTTTTATTTAATCTCTATACATAAAAATGAATCGCTGAATGTGTTGCTAAGCGCAAATCTCGAGAACAGCTGAACCGATTTCGCTAATTCTTTTTTTATAATATTCCTTGAAGTATGAGGATGGTTCGTACGTAGAAATATGTAAAAAAAATCCTGAAAATGTCTAAAAATAACACTTCTCTATATTCCCATACAAAAGATTCGAAATAAAACTTTCAAGTCAATTTAGACTTTAATACCATACCATAAAGGGGTTCCGGGGAAGCAAAACAAGAGTGACTGTGGTAAAAAGTCACTTGAAATATATACGTCTTTTTGCTGCATATACATAGTATAAAACAAAGTCGTCCCGCTGTCTGTCTGTCCCTATGTATGCTTAGATCTTTAAAACAACACAACAGATCTTGATGCGGTTTTTTTTCACTTGTATGTGTTCATATGTTTAATACATTGAACCCGTGCGAAGCCGGGGCGGATCGCTAGTTTTAAATAAAACCTACCAACCATTCAGTAAACTAGACCTGAACAGAGAAGAACCGACATGAAACTCTGCGGTCTTGTTCTCTTTTTTGTTAATTTGTATTCTGATGCAATTACACAAATTTATTAAGGTATACAATCAGCAGCAGCCAGTGGTCTTGCAACTTGTAGAGCATTTCAACACATCCATGTCCTCAATGTATTCTTGGACATTATAATAGGCCTTTGTCATTAGGGTAGCTTTTAAAAATTGTTTGAAAATGTTTATACTTAGTTGTTTTTGGATGTCACCTATTTAACCAAGATCAAGAAACGACTTTCTGGTATTTTAACCAAGAAACGACTTTCTGGTTTCAGCCAGTATAAAACTCGGTACTTCCAGATAGTCACCGCGGCCCCGACGCGATGTAGAATATATTTTTTGTTTGTCATTCTGTCACATTCCTTTGTTAGCAACTACGTTAGGGATGAATAAAAACTTGATACCTGTGAAAATATGAAAGTAAACTTTGCCTGGTGGTTACAAGCCTTATAATTTTTATCATTATATATTCACTTATACAAGTAGATATGTGATTAGGATATTAAAGTCAAATAAACATTAATCATTATACACATACGGATATACGTAAATGGGCTGGTTGATTCTTTGAGTTTGTTTTAATTGTGAGTTGCATCAAAATTTAACAATTAAATACACGAATTCGCGAATATTCTTCTTAAAGGAATTCATTAGAAACAAAATTTAAATGCCAAAAAATTTTGTTTTACTTCATAATAGAGGGCAATGATGTTTAGTCAATATAGATGACGCATGTCCAAACTGCGCGACGTTTATAAATTGTGCCTCTTTACATTACGTGACATATATGAGTGAATGCAATAGATTGTGTAGAATGTATGATACGAAAAGAGATAGCAGTCTATATAATTTTAATCCAATTACACCAATTGGTGTAATTTTAATGCCTCAGTTTCGGTACACTATTGTCATATCTACCTTTTATTTGTATATAACATCATTGATATAGGGGAACAAATACAGCTGAATCGAAGACAAAAAGTAATGCAATGTTTTGTAATTCTCATTTTGTAATAGACATTTTGATAAATTATGTGAGTCATTATTTCTAGTGTATATGAAAACATGAGCTTTAAAAATTATATCATTTAAAAACGTCCTAGTTAAAGATAAATAAGCAGTTGACAGTGGTAGCAAAAATAGAGGCAAAATAATGTGGGTACATCGAGCTAAATTCGTCGTAGCATATATTTTTCAACCGACTTAAAAAAAAGGAGGTGGGTCTAAATTCTAAATTCTTAATTGTTTTTTTTTGTTATGTTTATACCTTAGAAGTTTCGACCGAGTGAATCGATTTTGATGATTCTTTTTTTTTTTTTTTTTTGAAAGTTTGTGCTTCCCATGTGATCCCATATTGATTTCATTGGCATTGGTTCTAGGGCTCTGGAGATACGTAGGGAACTCCTGCAAATCAATTATAAAATTAATACAGAGCGATATCTGAAGTTGGTTTTGTTTTTCGTTACTAAAAATGTTGACTTGTTTTAATTACCAAACGAAAAGTGAATAGATTCGTAGGCCTAATAGCTGATGAACCTTGGATGGTGGAAGTGACTGGGAACAATTCTGTCAAAGTATCAATCGACAGAAGACAAAAGAGACCGGCAGTCTTATCACGGCGTTTGGGATGTGAATTGTTTAGAGCGTTGCCTTGGCAACGGGAGACAATGGAGTCTGTCCGAGTCGATAATCAATTTGCGCCCATACTAATATTGTCTTTGAATTAACATTGAACTCAATCCTTGGTTCCGTAGAAATACTGAGGTGAATGGTTTAGAAAGGTACAGATAAGTTAGATATAATTTCATAATTACATGTCATATATTCAGCGGTTCGGATAAAGATACTTTTTACTTTTCGCGTGGTGAACTATGCCCTGATTTTTACACCTTTACAGAGTAGGCCTTTTCCCAGCAGTGGGAAATTTATATGCTTACTTCACTTACTTCTTTACTCCACACTTGTGAGTTTTGGTTAGGAGTACAACACGCTTGAGACTTTCTGTTTTTGTGATTGCCCAAGCGGTTCATCTGAAGGCAAGTGAAGAACGCGTCTTCACTTGCCTTCAGATGAACCGCTTGCTTGACCAACCATGCCCAACCATTTGAAAAAAAAAAAAGCTTTTTAACAAACCGACTTCAAAAAGCTCTACCAGCACTAACAGTTTAAAAATATTACTAAATGTAATATAATCAAATCTTGAAAATCTAGCCTATATAACCTAACCAAAATCAAAATGTATCTAATCTACTCTAACAAAGTTTAAGAAGTTTTGGAGTCCCTCGCATGTTGACAGTTGGTCTATGCGGGCCGTGTTTTGGGTTCAATAGCAATGCCTGTCGCTACACAGGAATTACTTCTTCGTAAGCAGAAGTCGTTTACTTTTAATTTAAATTTTTATAGTTCGTGCAAAAATGCGCATTCTCGGGAATGGAACCGAAGCGGTGCTGAGGCCTATAGCTTAACGACTGCAGTGACTGGACCGTTATGCATTACAATTTAGTTTTCTTACATCATAAACTGTACTTTATTCCGAAATCTAGATAAACATTTTGAAAAAATCATATTCAGAAATGATTATGACAGAAAGTGTGATCTTTTTGGTATCCAAATTATAACGGTGGTAGAGCCACGTAGCAGCCTCGGCTGTTGCACGAATGGGCTGGCTCGTCCGGGTAAGTACCACGACCTCACAGAAGACCGGCGTAAAGAAGAAGTATGACAAATACTTTCGCGTTTCGTCTGGTGAGTGAGGTAGCCGGAGCCCAATTGCCAAAAAGGTTGTCAACACATCTGCAAACTCTCGGGCGTAGCAGATCAGTCTATGGGTGGCGGTATTCACTTAACATCAGGTGAACCGTCTGCTCGTTTGGCAACTTTTCACATTAAAAAATTGTCATAAATCTTTGTCACATAAATTAAGTGCCTTCAATGTCTTCTTTGCATTCTTCTGTCAGGTTTATTAGTCCATGGACCGTGTATTAAAGTGGGATAGATAACATTGCTGCAATCACGAAAGCGGATTTCTATTCATAAGTATGGTAGGGTTGAAGGTGCGGTGTCAACCCTATCGAGATTAGCAATGCACCACAAGACTAACCAATAATGAGTACTTTTTAAACTCATTTTCTCGGAGGTGATATTTCCCGGTCCAGTCAGCATGAAACCGAATACCCATGCTACGTGACTTTATGATGATGCAGGAGACGCTTTAGCTCAGTATTTGACGCTTTGTTTTTAAAGTTGAATCTGTTGACGCTACCTTGGGCTTTTGGCACTATTCGAGGGCCCGCTGACCGTACATATTGGCGGCTCAGGTATCAAAGCGATTGAGGCGGCCGACCTCCTTGCGCATATCGCATGCACGTAGCGGACGGAGCGGGCAGATCGCCTCGTGGGCAGCGATCGGGGGTGTATCGAGAATGGGGGGCGGTGGGGGGCGGGGTGAACACACGAGCCCCGAGGCGTCGAGGTGGGCGAGTGGCCGGCCAGGCGGGCGTAGGCCGGCCATCTCGGCCGGATATCGACCCGCGGTCACGTCGCCGCGGGGGTGGCGCCGTGACAAGAGCACGCCGCGACGTTACGCGCGGCCGACGTGACACGCCGTCCCGTCGCTAAGGACCGTTCCATCTCACGCATGACGCAATTGAGCGATCAATCCGAGACATTCGAATTGAGCGAATCGAGAAAGAATTCGAAGTACCAATCACGATCAAGTTTCGATATCGGCTTGAAATTAACAGGAGAAATAATTAATGAAAGTTATCGATAAAAAAATCGGTGTTACGCACCTCACTAGGCCGCGAGCGCGGCGGCGGGTGGTGCAAATCAGTCGCGCGGACTGCCGTTCTTGGAGGGCGCCCCCGCCCGCGTTGCGACCGCTTGGCGCGCGTTTTTATTTTCCATTCATCGATAAAAACGTCATGCGCGGGGAAGTTTCCGACGGTGATGCGGCTCGGACTGTTTATCGAGGTCGATATGAAATGCGAACACAGCCCTAACGTTACATTAATTTGCATAAGCCTTAATCAACTTCGTGTGAGTTGCTGTGAATATTTAAAAGACTGTAAAGTCACATTAAAAACGATTTAGTACAGATATCAGACAAGCGAATTTTTATCACTGTTATACGAAATATAACCATTAAGAGTTGGTATAGATAAAGAAAAACGGGGTGAAATATTATTTCGACCTTTACTCAGTTTTGTTATACTTCGGAGGGATATCGATCCTCGACCCACGATCTGGGACGCCGAGGCTGGTAGCAACAGCCTAACAACCGAGCTATCTTGTTTGTGACGTATCATTTATTTCTTGGAGAAAACTTAATTTAAACTATTGTTGTTCGTCTACTGATGTTTCTTTAGGGTTCCGTACACTACGGGACCCTATTACTAAGACTTCCATGTATGTCTGTCTGTGTGTCTGTACATCTGTCACCAGGCTGTATCTCATGAACCGTGATAGTTAGACAGTTGAAATTTTTACGGATGATATATTTCTGCTGCCGTTATAACAACAAATACCTAAGAAAAGAATAAAAATATATTTAAGTGAGCTTCCACACAACAGACATTTCTAATATATAATGGTGCAGGGTTCTGCAGGTTCTTGCGCTAGTCCGACTCACACATGCTCAATTATATTTTATACACAATAATGAACCGTGTAACTGATACGCTTGCCGTTGAAACAAATTAAAACGTTTGTTGCACTTTAAAACTAATACACGAAGCAATAAAATGTACAATTCACTGCAAAGAACGTTACCTAATCAACATTATCGAGACGGGACACAAAAAGTAACGGTAAAATCGTAGATATCGATATTCGATAGCGGGCGAGTCGCAGCGCGTTCAATTAGACGCGCAGCACGATCTCGCATGAGTGGCATCTGTGCGCGTCGCCGGCGGCGTTGTTCGCGCTGAAGCCGCCCCCCCCCCCCCCCCCCAACACTCCGCGTCTCCCCCCGCCGGACCATCGCCGGAATCGATACTCACGATAAGTCGAGAATTTGATGGTCCGCTCAGCTGCCAACGGACCCTTCGCCCGAGATTAGGGCCGTTAGTTCGAGTCTCCTCAGACTGCGACGCTCTCCGATAGCCTTTATCAACAGGTGTCGTGGAGCCTTAATGACCGTTACACATTTAATTTCTCACATAAGCCTTCCTACACTATTGTATACGTTTCCCCGTATTTACCAACGTTTCCGTTAGATCTATTGTTTTAATAATTGTTTGTGTCCGTCAAACATAATAGGATTGTCGGCAGGGCCAGGTTTAGAGGTCTGGAGGCCTCGGGGCAACAAAGGAGTGGAGGCCCCTTGGCCCCAAATTATTTTCCAAATAAAGTAATCAATATTTTCAGTCGAGTTTTTCAACAAATAACTTTTTGTGAAACCATGTACAGATTCTTTATTTATTGAAAAATTGGTTATTATATTATGGTTTTATAAAAATTGGTTACTAGGCCCTAAATTCGGCACTGTTTTAATTGAGTCGACAATCAGTGCCGTTCTTAAGATTTAATGATTTGTTCTGCAGTTGCTTATTTACGTCTACATGTATCGAACAACAGCGTAACTGGGTCATGCGACATCCCTTGCGCGTCTCACATCGATACGGGCGCACGTGCGGAGCACATCACTATCCCACCGGCGGCGGCGGGCGGCGTCTTGCTCGAAATTCGAATAACGCTTGGTCAAGCGCATCTCAAAGCGGGGAACGTGGCACGGTCTAATTTGCACCGGCTCTGCGGCGCCGGCTCTATGTGCTGTATGTACGCCGCATTCATTATGTACCTGCCCCCGCTATGTGCTGCGCTAGTTCCTTGTTCGAAATTGGAGTTTCGCACCGGGCGCTCTGTCTTTGCGTCTTAAGCTCCGATGACGTATGAAGGTACGTGCGCTATTCACACTGGCCGGTTCCTCGACCGTCCCGCAGCGTTGTTGTCTACAGTTCGATTGTTCGTTTCGCTTTCGTTGTTCCAAATTTGAAATCATCGAATCCGCTTTCGTTGTTCCAAATTTGAAATTATGAAATCCTTACAAGATGTGGATAAGGTGACGATAAATAGCTAGCAGTCATTTTTATGTTTAGTTTTTACTGGCCATTTTGGGTAAAATGTTTATAGTACTAAATAGTCTCTGCACATAAGATAAAACATTAAAATTTGTAGAAAAAACGGTTGGAAAGTGTTTCGCCGCTACGGGAATCGAACCCACGTCCTCCGGATACGCGTCTAGACTCTTTAACCACTAAGCTAAACTGCTTTTTTTCTACAAATTGTATTATTAATTATGTTTTATTTTTTTTAAGTGCAGAGAAACGATAACTCGGACGAGAGAAAATCTCACGTTCGAATTATTGTTGTAACACGACATTTGAAATTACTTGTCTACTGTAAAGGCGATACATATCCACTCTTTTTGCTTAAAATTCGAAAAAACAATGTCGATAAAGTATGTTGAGATTTCAGTCGGTGTGCCAATCAGCCATTTAGCTTAGTGATTAAAGCGTCTGTGCGCGAATCCCGAAGACGTTGGTTCGGTTCCCGCAGCGGCGAGAAATTTTTCGTCCATTTTTTCTGCAAAATTTAATGATGTTACTTAGGCTTATAATTATTCGAGCTTTGATTGTCAATTACAATTCGAATGTGCGAATTTTACTACGTTTTGTCATTTTTTACTATGAAAATAATATGCATCTGTGTTAGTTTTACATGAATATTTATAACATACTAGCTGTGCCCGCGACTTCGTCCGCGTGGAATTTAAAATAAAAAAAATTAAAGTAGCCTAAGTTACTTCTTATTACATCAGCTATCTGGCAGTGAAAGTCCCGTTAAAATGGGTCCAGCCGTTTCAGAGATTAGCCGGAACAAAAAGACAGACAGACAAAAATTGTAAAAATTGTTATTTTGGTATATGTACCGTGTATACATCCATATGCATTTAGTAAAAAGCGGTTATTTGAATATTAAAAACAGACTCCAATTTGATTTATCTGTATAGATTACGAATATTAAAATGCGAAAGAATAATTAAGAAACATCTTATTAATTTCGAAAGTAAATTTATCTCTGCACTCTGCGGTAAATTTTGTAATGGAGACCACTTGCAAGGGATTTTCTGCTTTTGAAAGTCTCCACAATGCAATTACTTTCTTATCACCTTTAATATTGCTATTACTTAAATGAAAAAAAAAAATATTTTGAAGACATGTGAAGTCCGCCAATTCGCAGTGGGGTCGCGAGGGGGACTATGCCCTGACACCCTCTGAACAGGGAAGGCCTTTGCCCAGCAGTGAGACATGTATAGGTTGATACTTTATACTTTTAAATGAAAAAAAAATACTTTTTGTACACATACACAACAATTAAGTGGCACACAGAAAGAAAGAAAGAATATACATTATTATTTACCAAAAAAAACGGTAAGTTGAGCTTCGCAAAACCAAGCCCCCATATTTATTATTTATCAAGTGTCTTATAGTCTTATCTCTTTGCGTTCTAAGGGGGAGGCCTATGTTCAACAGTGGACGTCTTGCGGCTGATGATGATGATGATGAAGTGTCTTATAAGCCTCTAAGGAATGAACTGAATTTTACTCGTGTGCTAATTGAACTCTCTGAGTGGCTCCAATCTAGTTTACGTAAGAAAGGAAACTGATTTATAAGCCAGTAAAAATTTTCTTTACGATAATTAACATCCCACGTTCATCAGTAAACTAGAAACGAAACTGTAATTCTAAAGGATTGTTGGCGGTTTAAATTTATATCGAAATCAACTCAGCGAACACCTAGTGGATTTTGTTCTTTTTCATTTCTTTACGGAGCTATTTTGCTTTTTGAATATGCCACCCAAAATCAACTTTATATAATTTTCACTGAAAATGAAAGAAAGAAAAAAACATACATTAATTTACCAAAAAGCTAAGTTTTTTTCAATGTGAAGAGGTGGCGAGCCACCCATCGACAACCGAAGGGTTGCAGCTGCGTTGGCACCTTTTGTTAAAGTGTCCCGCACACCTCTCTCACCAGAGAAGCGCCGGTTAAGCACGGCTTATTTTTTAAATCAAAACTAATCATGATTAAAACAATGATACAAATTATATTGGACATGGGACATACAACTATTAAACAACAGAGTCATAAAAGGGGAAATTAATTACAAACAATATTAAGTTTTTGTTTATATCTTTTGTGAACGCCTATGAATGTGAAAAACGCATTTAATCATGATTAATTAAATCATCTTTATAAAAAATTAAACAAGATGTCACAAGTAACCATGTGATATACCTGCAACATTCTGTACCCGGCCTCAAAGGTATCGCCGTATACCCGGTGCTAAAACCCAGTATCAAAATACGTACAGGTATTAGGTATGTTCAGGCCTCCTTTTGGAGACTCGGTCGAATCAAACGAATCGAATCTTTGGAGCATTTAGATGTTTTTTTAGCAATTAGTTTTTTGACATTGAGATTTAATCAGTCTAAAATAAGCTCTATCTTTAGTAACGTAAAGAACCCTATTACCAAAAAAAAAGTAATTCAAAATAAATATTACTGTTTAACCTTATTACACAATTATTTATCTACCTAATTGTCATAGAAATAAAGAATAAATTTATCTCAAGGAATTATCTAATTGGTATAAAATGCGACAGAGCGCGAACGTTAGGAAATACCGCCACCGTGTGACGAGGCGGCGGTAGGTCCGCGTACTCGCGACAGATATCGACAATACCTATCGGGTCCGGAACGGGCCTCGGCCGTTCATACCCGATCTGCGTACTGGTACGTTCATACCTGTACCAGTATATACGCCTCATCTCTAGTTGCAAGTTCTAATCTGAGAGGTAGCGTGATCTGCCTTGTGTGTATGCATTCGATTCACAATTGTGGCTAACAACCCACTAATAACTTTTGAGAATGAATGCTCTCGGTCAAACGTTGGACACATTAGCCGTCTGCTTACCCCATATTGGTTCAGGGACGTGAACATAAGAAATGAGCAAGGCGACACCCTACTCACCCTACTCAGCGCGCGTGCCAACCGTCCTGCGCGAAATTATGGCTCGTTAGACCCTATCAATCTTGGAAAGGTCCTCGGTCGAAACGTCTCCTGTTCTTGTCCCGCCTTAAAGGGTTATTTTTTAGGGTTCCGTACCCAAAGGGTAAACCGGGCCCTTACTCTGAACTCTCAACACTGTCTGGAAAACTCCGCTGTCTGTCTGTCCGTCTGTCACTAAGCTGTATCTCATGAACCGTGATAGTAAGACAGTTGAACTTTTCACAGATAGAAGTATTTCTGTTGCCGCTACAATAACTGAGGAACAGAATAAAAAAGTATTTAAGTGAGGCTCCCATGCAAGAGACATGAATTTTTGGCCGTCTTTATAGATAATTGTGCGGAACCCTTCGTGCGCGAGCCGGACTCGGTAATGGCCGGTTTTTCTGGCTTTGTTAGTGCCCCGCAACAGATTCTGCTAATGCGCGAATGGGCAAGCTCGTCCGGGGAAGTACCACGGCCTGGGGAAGATCGGCGGGAAATGGAGGTATTATACTTTCGTGTTTCGTCTAGCGAGTGACGTAACCGGTGCCCAATCTTTAAAAGCTGTCATAGCTTTTGCAAGCCCTGTTGTAAATGTCACCACCATGAGGCGAACCACCTGCTCGTTTGACTCTTTTAAAAAACTCTCATTAAAAAAACTTTGATGGTACTGTCCCACTTCTTATCGAACCACCACACCGCCTGCGCCGCCATCACGATGAGTCCCAAATGCTTTATGTCAGCTCACTTTGCTCGCAGATTGGGTCAGATTGACTCACTTCGACAGTGGTAGAGTACATAAAATTTGACTGGTCTACTCGACTCTAAATAACTTTAACCAAGTTTTATTGAAATATCTCATTTCCTTCATGTACTAACTACTTCTTAAGTATTGTTACCAAGGTGAAACTGAACTTAGTCTCTAAAAACTTTGAGTTAGAGACAATGCCAATAAAAACTTCTGTTAAATTTTGAATTAAGAACTCTTTGTTAACCTATATGTGATATGTTGCATTCATTTGTCATTCTTTTTTGTAAATTGGCAGAAATTCCAAAATTATTTAACGCGAGAAAATTTTCGGTTCATGCTTTATTACGACTTCGTTGTGTTGTGGTCTTACTCAACAACAAAGCTACGATAGACTTCGATTAGCATTTATTAATGAAGCCCCATACCCTGCCACTGTTTACAATCGGTTTGATGAGTTTAAATCTATATCTCTATATCTCTAAAGATGATCTGCGTGGGGGGCGTCCTTCAACATTTACATCTGAAAATAACATCAATAGATAAAAGATTTACCTACAAAAGGATTCGGGCATGCTTAGGCATTCGTATGGATCATGAACAAAAGACCATTTAGGCGTCTGGAAGATTTGTACCTGATGGATTCCCCATAAATTGACCGAAGACCAGACACGCCTTAGAATAGATTGGTGTCGAATGTTGTATTTAATTTAATGTTTGACGAAATGTTGTATTTAATGTTTGATGTCATCACATGTGATGAAAGAATATTGAAGAGACACGATATTCACAAAATTACATTAAGAACCCAATCGGCGAGGAGACACTATTTTATAGGAAGAGCGCACTGCATACCTCAATAAAAAAACATAATATGAAATATTATTTTCAAATTCGAAAATCGAACCC